TGCAATACCTTTATGCCTCAGGCCACACCCGGCGATACTAACGCCCCGGCCTGCCTTTGGCACCAGTATCACTCACCTCATACTCGGTAACTTCGTAATCATCGACGCGCCATTGGCAGCCCAACCCCATTTCTATGTTACGACCTTCACGCCCATACACTCATTTCAGCTTCAAACGCGATTGTTTCCTCGTCCCAGAAGCAATTGCATTGATTTCGATCCATCGTCATGTCGACCCGTCAAGCGGCACTGTGAGCACCAGCCCCGAAGATGTCGAAGATGCACGACTCAGATCGGACGGAGCCTTTATGCTAATAGTCATCACGACAGGTCGCTGTACCGGCGCTCGCTGAAGCTGGCCCTCGACTGGGCCGTTCATCGCCACCTCTGGAGAGGCCAAGCTTTGTACATCCGCTCGCTGTTCGAGGCTAACCGATCCGTGACGGACTCCAGACAAAAGAGAGTAAGTAATGCGGTCGGCAGACGTCGCAAACCAAACGAGCAAGGGACGCTGATCTGAGCTTTCGCAGGAACTTTTGGCTCAGACAGAGAAATTGCTGTCTAAATGGAAGCACCCAGAGCCCTACGTGCACCCGACAGCACCCGGCGGTATGTCGCGATTCCTCTCCCACACACCGCAGCACTTCACGAATAGCGCAGACGATGCTGATAACGATTGCACAGGTTCCAAATTTGAGCGCAACCTCCGAGCACCTATCCTTGATCGTAAGTCACCAATGTGGCAGACATCAACACCAATTCCTTCTGACAAAGACATAGCGCCACCCCCATTGAAATTCTAAAGAGCTAGCGAAGGCGCGGAAGGGAGAAAGACTGGGATTACAACGTATGCGACGTTTTGACTGCACGATGTAGCAATGCAATCGCGTGGAAGCTTCAGCACGCTACTTTGACAACACTGTCTCGGGTAGCTATGGACCGGGACACTTGATGTACAACCGTAACAAATATGCCCGGGCTGGCTAATTCAAGCCAAGCCTAAGCCCACGCGCACGCCTTTCAGCCCACAAGTATAGCTCCCCCCGGTCCCTACAAGTCTATAATACAACACCGTAATCCGATCACCATAATCTCAAGTCGTCATGTCGCAATGAGTCGTGGTAGCGGCACGAACCATTTGACGGTTCCGGTAGTTCATTCTGTGGTATCATACAGGAGACGAAACCATCCAAGAAAGCAGCCATGTGGTCACGCTGCACATCAATCATATATCCAGGTTTCCGAACCTTACGATTCCGCAGACGGACGACGAATTGCGAAAAACTGCAGCATGCATACTGATCCGATGGGATTCGTCACGATAAGGTCGCGCCTTCAACCAAGTGTGCGAAACGTGATCTTCAAAAGGTATTCTCATTCGTAACCATAGCTTCCTGCCGTGGTATTATTGTACAACCCAAACGTGAAAATCAACCGTAAACCCTGAACCGTGACCCCGATGTCATGACAACCCAAAGCAGCCGACCAGCACGAAAAAAACCGAAACCGACACCCATTTACAACTCTTGGCTCTGGTTCTTGCCAGTCTTGCCAGTCTTCTTGGGCAGCAGGTCTTGAAACACCGTTAGCAATTGAAGGAAGGATCGATGATTCAAGGCCAACTTACTCTGGTGAATGTTGGGCAGAACACCACCCTGGGCGATCGTGACGTGGCCGAGAAGCTTGTTCAGCTCCTCATCGTTGCGGATGGCGAGCTGAAGATGACGGGGAATGATACGGGTCTTCTTGTTGTCGCGGGCGGCGTTGCCAGCCAGCTCGAGAATCTCAGCGGCGAGGTACTCGAGGACTGCGGCGAGGTAGACGGGGGCACCGGCACCGACACGCTGAGCGTAGTTACCCTTGCGGAGCAGACGGTGAACACGACCGACGGGGAATGCGAGACCGGCCTTTGAGGAACGACTGTAGGATACAAGGTCAGTGGATGAAGCTTGAGCTTGAACTGAAGAACGTAGTATCAGAGTGTAAAAGCGGCTTTTTTATTGTTAAAAGCTCCAAATGAAAGAAATAACTTACGATTGCGCGTTCTTGGAACCGCTGGCCTTGCCGCCGGACTTTCCGCCTCCAGTCATTGTGAATTTGGGATTTGGGGTTGGGTTGTGTGGAAAAGTTGGGTATTGAGGTAGACGCGTAAAAAGCGACTTGGCTGAAGGCTGGCTTTGAGTTGGGGATGGAAAAGTGAGATGAAGATGGAAGAAAGGGCGTTGATGGTGGGGAGTGAAGATGTTAAGTAGTTTTCGCGTTAGAGGAGCTCGATCACGGATCACCAACGCGCGATTTAGCGCTAAGCCCAAATCAGAAATTCGATGTTGTGGTAGACTGTTGCAGGCAGGTGCGGTGCATCATTTTTCTGGGCCCCGGGCTAGAAGGAAGGCACGTACCCCTTATCAGTCCTGCCGCCGCTCTCAGCAGTGCCTCCTCTTTGGTGGACGCAAGCTACGGATAAGCCTTAAAGTGGGCTGCCGGCCTGTCAGACACGACTTCCATTAACACAAACTCACAGAGGCAAGGTAGCGATTGCGTCCCGATGCGATCAATGCAAGGAAATAAAAACCCCCGCGGTCCCGCTCCTCTTTTCCACAAGCATTGCCGGGACCTGCCCAAGTCCTCTTCCCCCTTCTTAACAAGTCTTTTTATTTTTATTTCTTAGCCCACTTCCACTTTCTGCTTATTCCCCCGTTCTGCGCGGGATTTTGGTTTTCGAATTATCTTACTGGCTAGGAGAAGCAGTCAGCCATCCAGCCACGTCTTGATCACCTTCTCTTACCTATCACCCCCCTTCCCCTCCGACCTTATTTCCTGGACGAACCGCCACGACACAACCAGCTGGGCACCTTACAACTTGTCGGACTGATGCGACGCACTTTTCCGCCCTTGGTGCCGTGTGTTGTCTCAATGCACTACAATATGACACATTATTCCTCTTTCTCTTTCGTACAGCTCCAACCTGTGTTTTCATTCAGCAAAAAGAAATACCGGGTTTCGATTTGAAAAGTGACTCAGCAGAATCAATCGACTTTTGAGTGTTGCAAACTTCAGAGCAGAGGTTGTTACCCCGAAGCATGTTACCAAACATGTCCAAACCCTTGACGCACTCAATTATCTCTTTGGAATGGGAGGATAAATGGGTTACATCTCAACTACTTTATGCGAATTATATGCTTCGCTATCCAGTGACATTTCGACCCCATATGACTTGCATCCAAATGGATCTCAGATCTACCGGAACCCGCTATATAGCACGAACAGAGTCCGATACATGGTGTAAGCTCATGCGAAGAAGCCTAATGAGACCCAGGAACCTGGGCCTCATATGGTCCATTGTTCGGCTCCATCCCATATCGGGCCCGGAGAAATCTTCAAATCGACTGCCCCGCGTCCTGTTTGACCCCGTCGCAATCGAGGAAAGAACCTCATAGAGTGCCTGATACAGCGACCCCTGCATGCCACTCGTGGTGTTTCTATGGCAAACGGGCCCAGCCTTGTGATGACATGGAGTGGAGGGGTCCCGATATGTACTACAGAGCCCACCGCGTTACCTTTGATCGCGTTTCCACTGGCTGAAGAGCGGACAATCTTGCTCCTGCTAGATGTGTACACCATCCTGCAGGCCAGGTACTCCACGTTTAAGGCCGCGAGCTCACGGGCATGCTTCCTTCATCTAGGGGCCATTCTACCTGAGGTCACAGGCGTGTATGGATCGCAATGAGTAGAGAATGTCACTGAGCCCCCCGTCAATTACAATAGAGCCATGCGGGCCTAGGCCCAATAGAGACAGAAAGTCCAGGCTCTGGCTACCTCAGGCTCTTAGCCGCACCCACCGTTGCAAGAAACGCGTCAAAGAAAAGCGAGTTTCCTCAAGCCCAAAGAATGCTCCCAGTGTCACGTATTCCACTGAACACACCCGAGAAGCAGTTGTAGAGCGCAGTGTGTGAAAGATTATTTTGCCTTCATCCAGAGTGCTAAACTGCCTCGGGCAACGTGGACCAGGCAGGCATTTATTGAAATGCCCGGCTGAGGCGAATCGGCGGCTTATTGGCATGGCGACCCGAATTCTCTGCGGACTGCTACAAGTCTTCTACTCTCGACTTCCTATAAGTATGAGGGTTGAAGAGATGCTATGAGACAACCTGTTGGTTCTCAACTATCACGTAGGTAAGGTAGGTACGCTGCAAGAGTGATACACATGTGATGTCGCAGCTTTGCGCGCATCTCTGATCTGGCTTGTGGACTTTTTGCTAGCTCCTACGAGTCGCCAGACGTCTTGGGCGGTAGCAAGCAAGTACGTGACCTGGTAGCTCTGCGTGGCCGGGAGATTGTTGGTTTGCATGTAACGGGACGCTGCCATTGGTTGCGGCCTGTTCTGGCAGTCTCGAATGTCCCCTGCCAGCCAGCTCCTTGATACGCGAATTAAAAAAAAAAAAAAAAGAGAGAGAATACATTGAGCGTCACGTATTTGTTTTTTTAGCGCGAACGCGTGAGTACCCCAGTTCGGTAGCCGCTTTCATGGGCGGTGGTTACGGATCCTCCATATCTGGACCCACCTACACGCCTCCCAGCCAACCACGACAGTCGATTCCCATTTTACTAGGCAAGGCCACACCAGTGCACGCCCCTGGCACCAGTCCAAAGGCCCCGGTGTGCCGCTGATACTGACCACCCACCTGGGCCACCCCTCCCCAAAATCACTCTGTCCTCGCATCAAATCAGTAACGCCGCAGGAGCCCGTCGCGTCCAGCTACAAAAACCCAGCCCACCCCCCCAAACTTCTTCCTGCCACATCAACTCTTCCTCACTCCATCATCCAGCTTCATCCACGGTCGCCAGTCGCAATCCATTTCAACCAACTTACTCACGTACTCATTTTTCACCTTCACTAATCCAAACCGCAAAAATGCCCCCCAAGGCCGCCGACAAGAAGCCCGCCTCCAAGGCCCCTGCCACTGCCTCCAAGGCCCCCGAGAAGAAGGATGCTGGCAAGAAGACCGCCGCCTCTGGCGACAAGAAGAAGCGCACCAAGTCTCGCAAGGAGACCTACTCCTCCTACATCTACAAGGGTTAGTGACACCAATATTTCGTGTTGGCGCGTCGCGTCATCAACGCGATACTGGATGTCTTTCGACATATTCTGACATACTCGCAGTCCTGAAGCAGGTCCACCCCGACACTGGTATCTCCAACCGTGCCATGTCTATCCTCAACTCCTTCGTCAACGGTAAGTATCAATCGCTTTGAATATCGACGTGCATCGTTTCTAACGCGTCTCATAGATATCTTTGAGCGCGTCGCCTCTGAGGCTTCCAAGCTTGCCGCCTACAACAAGAAGTCCACCATCTCCTCTCGCGAGATCCAGACCTCGTATGTCATCTTACCATGCCCCAAAACCGACCTAGCTAATCCCCACTCGCAGTGTTCGTCTCATCCTGCCCGGTGAGCTGGCCAAGCACGCCGTCTCGGAAGGCACTAAGGCCGTCACCAAGTACTCTTCTTCCACGAAATAAGGGTGCTTGTACTGCTTTTCTTTTCGGGCATTGGATTTTACTTGGCATTTGGGTGTCATGATGAGACCTGCCAAGGTTACCAATATCCTTGGGGTCTCTTAATGCGTTACGGATGGTTTGCTTTTTTGGGGGCAATGTCTTCACGGTCAAACGGGGTTCGCGGGCTGTACAATACACCTTGAGAATAGGGTTTTCGGACGAATGAAATCGTACACATGAACATCAACACAAGCCCACTCTATTGCAAACGTGCTCTGATGCGCACATCTACTAAACTATGCTCCCAGGCACACCCCGTTCCACGAGCCCCTTTGACGAAGGGGCCGCCCACCAACCAACGTCGAACGCGCTGCTCCGCAAAGACATCGACGCGGCGGCAGCCACCAAAACGTGTTATCCCAGCCCGGCCTTGCTACGCTTGACAACATGGGCGACAGGCTGCAGAATGCCTTTGTTGTTCATCGCGCCTAGTGCCGTACCGCTACTCCAGCCCATTTTCTCGAGCATCGCGCGACCTTTATTTTCCTGGCTCAACTCAGGCGCGGAGCCGCCGACGACCTCACCATCCCGATAAGCGACGCCAGCGTGTCCACCACCTCCTCCCCTACGAGCTGATTGCCTCTGTACGGCGGCACGCACTGCTGTATCGTTGCGGGGGAAGTATTTGCGGCCGACTCGAGCAATGGCTACATCGAAGACCTCGTCGGCAAATTTAGCGGTCCTGAAAGTGCGGTGGAGCATGGGTCGCCTTTGGTCACCCGATCCTGTGGACTTGGATTTGATGTTGAATTTGCTGGCTAGTTCGTGGATCACCTTGCGAGCATGATTGTCCATGGGCGGTAGAGTGAGACTGCGGCAACAAGTCAGCTTCTAACACATTGTGTGCACTCAAAGGGTACGAAACTTACCTAGGTTGCGTGCCCAAGAGGAATGTTCTCAGCTCATCGGCGATTTGTTCAAGCTCCATCCCGTGCGGGTATTTGACTCTGAGATCCTCCGGGTTCGCATGTTTACCCAGCAACCCCATAGTACGCATGGCCTGACGTTCTTTCTTCCTCTCGGCCTTTTTCAAGCGATCGTTCTTCCACGCAGCTTGCATCTTGCCCTCTAGCTCTGAATCCGAAATGTCAAACACTGGAACCTTGCCTTTGGCACCCTTGCCCTTCTTAGGCTTCAACGCCGGGCGGTTCCAGTCCATGAAATCGAAATCATCGATCTCATTCGCAAATCTATCTGCTGCTGATCTGAAGATGTCGTCGTCGTCTTGGTCGCTTGAATCCGAAGGCGGCGATGCGTCTTCGGCATGAGATTGCTCAAGTGATGCCAGGTAGGAAACATCCGTCTCAAAAATGCCCATCACTGCATGATCATCTTGTATGAGTTTGCCCCTTTCAGATCGCCTCCGGGCAGTGTGGATAGGTTTCTTGTCGCTTTCCTTGGGCTCTCTTCTAACCTCTGCTGTCGTGTGTTCCGAATCGCTGTTGGCGCCTGATAAATCCTCGGTCTTGCTTGTGGCTATGACGGTCTGAAACGAGTCATCGATGCCTTCAGACTCACTCAAAGAGCCACCTATGTCCCGGCGAGAATAGGCTTTCGCGGGCACCAGAGCCTCGTCTTCGCCATACTCCCTCATGTTGGCAATGTAGTCAGCAACCAAGTCATCTTCCTCCTGTCGCTTCAAGTCTTTGGCGGCATTTCGACGAGGTTTCTGTGTAGAGCTCCCCGCGGTCTTCACAGGCACATTCTTGCTGCTGTCTCTTTTTGATTTGACGGTCTTCTCCAGGACGTTGATCTCGGTAGAAATGCCGCCCAGGTTGAAAGTCTTCAGCTTCGATTTGGCTTTGGACTTCGAACTTTGCCTGTCTCTGGGAACCTTGTTGCGACCTCTGAACAGAATGACTTCTTCACTAGAATTGGACGGCGTAGGCGACGGAGAGCGAGTCAGACTTTGATCCACAAATGTGTCAAGCCGTTGATTCTCTCCTACGACGTCGAAGAAGAAGGGAAGAGGTGATGCCGTGTCTTGAGTGACGGGAGCCTCAGCGCCAGTGATGTCTTCCACTCTGGAGATCGTAGCCTTCTCTGCCTCGCGTGGGTATAGAGAGGTATCCGTCATTTCGACGGCAACATCGACTGGCATCGCCTCGTGGGTGTGGGCTTCGTCAAGCGAAAAAGCAGGTTGAAATTTGTTGGAAGGTGTGTCGGCAGCAGCTTGGCCATGGGTGGTGGTGTTTTGTCCTTCAATCTCCGCTCCTCGAGGTCTGCTTGTAGGATCCTCCTCGCCAATCTTCAAGATGCTCTCTAGCTGTTTTAGAGGCTCTGCTGCTCCAGTATTGATAAAGGCGACCGGCCTATGGCGTAGTTTGGAATCACTGCTCCAGGGTGACGAGCGATGAGCAGTGCTGCGGGCTTCATCTTGCAATGTAAATCCTGTGGCGAACCCGGTTAATTTGGATACCATCAATGGGAGGTACTTCCCAAGACGAGTCCCGATCAGAATGGCATATACTGACCGGTTGAGCTCATCGCAGGAATGAAACTGGGTGCATGCCGCTCTATGCCACCGGGGGTGCGAAGGCGAGGGGCATTGCGTGGTGGCGCACGAGCGCCACTCCTTTTTCCACCGCGCGGCATCGCTGCCCACGCAATGAAGAAGGTTCAATGGAAATGCTGTCTATGTCTTGTCCGGATAGTGAGGGAGTAGTTTCTGTCAACTAGAAGCGTGGTTGTGGGAGCTCTGACACCTTCTGCTGAAGTCAGAGATATACTCGGGATGTGGCAAGCCAGTCAAAAAAAAACCCTTCTATCATGCATACCTCTATTCTGTCCCGGTGAAAACACAAAGCGGAGTACGCGCCTTAGCTTAGGTGCCTACCTACTTAGGGAAGCACCGTCATTGATACCTAAGGATTGCACAAAGGTACGGAGAGGTACCTTAGGTTGCTGGGTACCTATCGTCACAGCTGTTATCGATAAAGAACGCTCGGACGGGGCACATATCACGAAAGACGAGGCTTATCTACCTTATCCATAGAAGTACCTCAGGTACCTTGGGCACTCCATACTGTGGGTTTCGTGGTTACTTGAGGCAACACTGGAAGCCTTGCAAGATAAACGCTTCGGACCTCAGGTATTCTGTACTTCTAGCATTAGTTGCCGATCAAAAGAGGACCTGGGCCATTCTCCCCTCACTACGTAACGTGGGGCACCATACCTAGTGCTACCCTGCCTACCTACGGATACAGGCTGCCTAGGTACATTATCGTGCAGCGATGCGCTACTTGACTGCCACACCAAGAGCCCCGCTGTGTTCGGCTGATGCGTCACAGGGACAGTCCGCCTGTCATCGGCTCAGATAGATGAAGACTTGGGTTGCAAGTAATCTTTACGCTATTACGCAGGGTTCCTTCCTATCGCGCGAGGTCGTCTGGCTGTGCTAGTTTGTCCACCTCTCTCTACCTACCTCCCCGGCGCATGCCTAAATACGGCATTGCCATCTTCATTGCTCATCCACCATTCCCCAACTAACCAACTCACCAACTTGACCATCTACCACCCCTGCGGCCTCGCATCGATATTGCCTCGAGTGTAATCGCCCAGCTGTTTGAGCTTACACTGTCATCTGCAAAACTTACCTCTGTTTGCTTTTGACTCCCCTAAAGTCGTACCGACAGCTTTCAGAAGGAAGAACGATTAGATTTCCTTTGTTGTCGCCTGCGCATACGAGATCGTCTTTCTCCAGGACGAGTCGTCCCATATTGCAGGACTTTGTGGCCAGGCTTTGCAGTCGAACGGATCCGCCATGGCTGCAGTAGACCTCGGCCGATATCGTCGCATCGTCCAGATGTTTTGGGATCCCCAACCTACCAACGACCATCAGAGTGATCTTCCAGTTTGGTGCTTGGGTCGCTCCTACAAGCTAAACACCAAGGCTCTCAAAGACAAGGATACAGAGAATCGAAGCCAAACCCCTCCGTCGACCGAGTCTACCGAAACCAAGCCCAAAACCTCGCATGTGTTAGCGACAGCTTCGGCCTCGGCCAAAGCCCCGGAAACCCCCCCGGATTCTGTGTCTAGTAGCTTTTCGTCTTCGCTTGCTTACGATGAGGATTACCTGGAACAGGACGGTGGCTGGCCTTCGGCATTTCTCGATGACTTTGAATCCAAGTTTTGGATGACGTACCGATCAGAGTTCCAGGCCATAGCAAAATCTACAGATCCACGAGCCTCGTCTGCGTTATCTTTCTCAATGCGTATCAAAAGTCAACTGGTGGATCAAAACGGCTTCTCGTCTGACAGTGGCTGGGGATGCATGATCCGGTCAGGCCAAAGCTTACTCGCAAATGCGATGGCAGTTATCAACCTAGGGCGCGGTGAGTTGCTTGGAATAGTTTGGACGATCACTTCGTTGCAAGTCCCTTTCGCTGACACCGGTAGTAGGATGGCGACGAGGTGATAAAATTGAAGAGGAGAGAAAGCTGATTTCTTTATTTGCGGACGATCCAAGAGCGCCTTATTCCATCCACCAATTTGTTCAACATGGCGCAGTGGCATGTGGGAAATACCCTGGGGAGTGGTTTGGTCCCTCGGCCACCGCTCGCTGCATTCAGTAAGCTTGCGTTATTGTTGCTAGATGCAGTCATACAGGCTAATTTCCTACACCAGAGCCTTGGCCAATGCCCAAGAACACCAGCCTCTCCGAGTGTACTCCACTGGAGATGGACCTGATGTCTACGAGGAGAACTTCATGAAGATTGCCAAACCCGAAGGCTCCCAGTTCCACCCTACGCTCGTATTGGTTGGTACGAGGCTCGGAATTGACAAAATTACCCCGGTCTACTGGGAGGCTCTCATAGCCGCACTCCAAATGCCACAGTCAGTGGGCATAGCAGGGTAGGCGCCTCCATCAAGATTAAGATACTACTTACTCACGATGATTGCAGTGGCAGACCTTCCTCTTCCCACTACTTCATCGGTACACAAGGTTCCCACTTGTTCTACCTTGATCCGCACCATACTCGACCTGCCCTCCCATTTCACACGGATCCTTCTCGCTATAGTGAAGCAGATGTTGATACCACCCATACTCGACGCCTACGTTGGCTACATGTTCGGGAGCTGGACCCCAGCATGCTCATTGGTTTCTTGATACAGGATGAGGACGATTGGATCGAGTGGAGGCGTAACGTGAAGCACGTCCAAGGAAAAGCAGTGATCCATGTTGCGGACTACGACCCTGTATCCAGAGGCGGTGGAGGGGAGAGGGATAGCGCCATTGATGAAGTGGAAACGATTAGTGATGACGACGGTGACACCATCTTGGACGCTTGAGAATCTCCGTCGTTTGCTACGATCCTTCCGTTAGGATCAGAGACCGAAATCTATGGGCGTTGAAAACGCACCAATGCACATGGCCTGATACAGGTTTTCTTCGCCTGGAGCTGCTGGGTTAGGGATAGGCTATAGGCCATATTCAGGGACAGTCGCATTATTGGCGCAAAGGATGCTCACTTTGATGACGAGGCTGGGTAACACAGATTGGTTTGGTATGAACATTGATTTGATCTGGGGTGCGAGTTTGCTCTTCAACCGTTGGATAATTTTCTGAGGCAGCTCAGTCTTAGATACAGATTGACTCAGCGTCTCTTTTTCTTAGCGCCTGCTGGGGCCTTTGCATTTGGGGGTGCCCGGGCATGATTGAGATCTCGAATATGACTGAAGAGCTGGCTTTTGGAAGGAAACGATGCATTGCACACCATGCATGTATTCTATGGATCGGTTGTCAGCGATTAAAGGCGGAGTTGACATAGGATATATTCAGACCGGGGACTCACACCGTTATTTCCGGCCTCCTCCACTGCTTGGCGTGCTGCCTTTTTTTCACGCTTCGCCTTTGCCTTCCCTAGCTTCTTTGGCTGTGACTCATGGCCACTTCCATTGTCATCTTCAAGTGACAACGTTTCTAGACTGGCTGATACAGCCTGAGCAGCAGCTTCTGGGTCATCGCCTTCGCTCGCCCTGGTAATGGTATTGTGGACTGCGAATAGCCTCTGCTCAACCTCGGCACGCGAAGCATACTCATCATCTTCGATACTATCCGACGACGTATCAGTGAGCTCCGTCTCATCGATATGAGAAATTTGTTCTGCTGATGTATCATCCTTGCCCTTTGCGGCGTCCAATTCACCGCGCCCCCGAGTACCATCCCCCTCCTCAGATTCGTCGCTCGGTGTCGCCTTCTCGGGCGCGATAGGAGCGTCACGTAGACCCAGATCCATATCTTCGTTCTTCATTTGGCGCCTCAGATATTGCACTGCCTTTACGTGTTTTTTGCTTCGTTCATGTGCTTCAAATGACTTCTCGCTCTTGAAGATCTTGTTGCACACAACGCATTCGATCTCCTCTACCTCTGATTCCTCCTCCTCGCTGCTCGAGAAGTGGCCGGCCGTATCGCCTTCATCCCTTGCCTGAGCCCAGTCAGGAACGAATGCCTCGGATAGTTTCTCTTTATTAGCGGCACGTGAGCGTGCAGCTTGAGCGGCAGCGGCGGAACGTAAAGACTCCTGGCGTTCGGCAGCTGTCTGTGTGTTTGGAAGGTAACGCGGATCGCGCTTTCGTACAAAAGTGACGAGGAATCTAACTGCGTCATTGAATTCTCGTATGGCTTCTTCACGAATCTTCTTATTTTCTCTCTCCATGGCACGCCTGATACGACGATCCGGGGCCTCCACGAGCCGGTATTCGTCCTTCCATGCAAAAGTCTTGCAAGTCGAGAAGCTGGTCCAGGCGCTGTAGAAGGCCTTGACGGTGTGCTCATAGCTGTCGGTAGAGGAGCCGAATGTAGGATAATCTGGAGTGTCTCCCACTTCATAGACGCCAGCAGCGATTTCCTCATCAACGAGATGATCGAATGTCGCCTTGGCAATGCCAAAGAACCCTGAAGTGCCGTCCGTGAAGGGAACAGTAGAGTCAAAGCGGCGGATGAGGGAGAATATGTCTTCGGTGGACGTGAGCTTCACGTTGTTGTACTCGGGGCTGTTGCCTGAATCGGTCGGATCGGCCCCCCGTAAGATGGCTTCGCGATGGGAGTCGTACCAAGCTCTCTCCTGGGGATCGGCAAGGACTTCGTATGCGGCCTGGATTTCAGCGAAGCGACGGGTCGCATTCTGGACATCATGAAAGTTTCGGTCCGGGTGAAGCTCAAGGGCTCGTTTTCTGTAAGCTTTTTTGATTCTAGAGGCCCGGTATCGATTAGCAAGGACCCAAGTAAAAGCCCAAGAGCACTGGAAAGTGAGGAACGAGTGCGTACTCATCGTCAGAGGCGTCGCGCCCAACTTCAAGGAGCTCATAGTAACACGTCTTGACTGGCTCAGAGGAGCTTTCGCTCTGGTCTCGGCCAGAGGATTGCTGAGCACCCATGACACACCGAAGACGCTACACAGCGTACAGCAAAATGGGTGGCTCTATTATTTGCTAAATCTGAACCGCCGAATACCTTGACAGGCGAGAGTTGCCACAAAATTGCGTGTTGGAGCCGGCGCGTGGTTGGTGAAAGCTCACGACCGACCAGTCCAATCATTCGAATACGCTGTGCAGAAAGGGTAAGAGAAACAGTGATCGAGATATTCAGCAGGTAAAGGTAAAGAAATGATCACAATAGACAAGGGACTTGGGCAAGATTAGGTAAAGATGGCAAGGCATTTCCAAGTAAAGTAAGGATGGAACTTCCGTGTGGTGCCTAGGTAGACTTTAGGTAATCCATAATTCTTGAATCGAATTTCTTTTTTTGCAGATGCCCCTCCACACCTCGTACCTTCAGGTAAGGTAAGGAAGATATACCCCGCAACCCCTCATTGCCTGCCATTTGATAAGATAAGAATTCAAGGGTTGTTAAAGTCGAAGGTAAGGTTCCTACCTAAGGTAAGGCACCGCGGTGGCTAAAGTACTGTGTACCTATCTCATCCATTTACCTACCTACTTACCCATTTGAAATCTGATCTTGGAGAACTGATCATCAGCATCACACTAATACTATCCGTACATTCGGAATGCCTTTGCCTCAGGTACCTCATGAGACCACATGGTTCACACTAGATAAAGACTGGCAATAGATATCTAATTGAAAACATGCGGAAGTCGACTAGGCAGTGCAGGTGCACATCTGGACATCTAGCGAGCGAGCGTGGACAGTGTCCGTCAACGCACGGATATAGTAATACTCTGTATTCATAGGAATATCTCCTTACTTGGAAAAGACGAGCAATGACTCTTGCTTGGTCCCACCTGACATGGCAACGTGCCGACTCTGAGGTTGGTGACTGGGCTAAACGGAATGTGCATCAATCGAGAGGAGCTACATACTGTTCGGCTCCGTGACAGGAGCAGCGGGCCCCATACCACCCTTTCCTGAGTACAACGTTGGGCGAAGTATCTTCAATGACTGAGTCTGTGTATGGGAAACCATCTACCTAGTAGGTAGATATAGCTGGGACTGGTATACGTAACCGTACAGTCATCAAGTCTCGCCTTATACAAAGTTGGAACTTGCCGTGAGTTGAAAGATAGTAAGGGCACATGAGGTATATGACCCGTTACAACGATTATATGCTACGGCTTTTCTCTACATATCAGTCCGTTGGCGAAGGACCGCCGCGAGGCAACTTAGGGCACCAACTATTACCTTACCTAAAGTACCAAGTGTTCCCATTTCCCTGGCACCGTATCGCACCTAAGGTACTTGATGTCATTCGAAGCAAGGTATGTATGTATCCGAACCTTGAGCAGAGTTAGTAACGGCCACTGATGGGATGTGATGGGATGGCATGGGATGGCGTCCAGTGAACCCATGCCTTGCGATCCCCCCCCCCCCCGCCTTTCCCTCCCTGTCCTGGTTGTTTGACAGCATGGTCCAGCCCAGCCTAGCCCCCCAGCACGTCGTCGAGGCCGGTGACAAAAACCAGTGCAGTTACGTACTTTTGCGTGTCTGTGACTGAAATTTTATATAGTGCAACTACGCTGCTGACCCTTTACCTACCTACCCTCCCATCACAAGCCCCCCAAACCCTCTTTCTTGATCATTCGTCCGTGAATCCAGGGCTATCCTATCCACCCCTCGGAGAGAAAGCCATGTCTTTACGCCTTGCCAAGACACCAGTCCGAGTATCGAGTATTGTTGCACTGCAGATCCAACCAATTTGAAAACCTACGCCATGAAGTTTGCACACGATTTCAAAGAAACGCTTAGGCGCCAAGGTTAGTATACCACATGTCTTTGTCGTTTTTTTTTTAATATTTTTTACCGATATTTCCCTCTGAAATCCTCCATGTTCGTCCCATCTCAGACGCTCTGTGAGACTGAATGTGACAATCCCCCAAAAGAGACGATGCATTGCCTGACGCTGCTCAATTTCAGACTTTCCACCTCACTGGATTGATCAGGCCATCCCATATGGCCAGCTAAAGAAGGTTCTCAAACGTGTCGCCGGGGAACTCAACGATCTGGGGCTTGATCCCGAGACTCTACGCCAACTTCTCGACCCGGCTAATGATTCGCCACTCGCCGCCAAATACCGCCTCAATGGTAAACTATCTCTGCCCTCTCCCATCCAGCGGTGTTCGCATCGCCGCCACCCCCCACGCCCCTACCAAAAGCATACGGGCTAACTTGCATACAGCTGCCGGGAACTCAAAGTTATTGAGGCCAAAACTGACTGTCTTGGTGCACATGCGCGACGGCAATGCCGTTGACGCATCACTGACGCCCGCATCCCGTTCCCTCATTGAACGCATCGCCGCCTTGCAGTCCCACGATCCAGCTCAACCGATCCCGGCCGCAGCTCCAGAGGACTCCGTACCATCCAAGTCGCCAGTCTCGTCTGTTGAGTCTCTTGCCGATGCTGAGATTGAGTTATCGGGCACCCAGACTTGTCTCCAGGTTGAAGGCCAATCGTCGTCAACAGAGCACTATGAGCGTATCGAAGTTCCACTTGTCTTTGATGGTGAATTCTTTGACATCCTGCAGAGCGATGTCAACAACTTGGATGCACTTCAGGCAAAGGAGGAAAAGGCCATGGTGACGGAGATTGTTGCCCTGAGACAGGAAATTTCTCATTTGACGAAACCCAGTCGCCTCTCCAAGAGCGACCTTGCGAGGTGGCGAGCCATTTTCGAGCTGTACCTCGACGCCCAAGTCTTCTTCTCAACCAACGAGCAAGATCACGGATCCCGAACTAGTCAGACGGCTGCGAAACAGCTCCAGTGGTTCCAAGAAGAAATCACAAAGAGGAATCTCGTCAAATCATTCAAGATTGCCGAGAGTCGCGAAGCCCTAGTTCGCTTCTTAAGTCTCAACGCCGTTCTCCTCAAAAACTTGCAGTTCCAGGAAATCAACCAGGTTGCTATATACAAAATTCTGAAAAGTGAGCCTTACCCCTCCCGATATCGCCTTCAATCTAGTTTGACTTGTTCAAGCAAAGCTGATGCACGGCAGAGTTCGACAAACGTACCTGCCTGGGTGTTTCGAAATCCTTTCCAATTCAAGTACATTCCGACAAGTTGCTGGCCGGCTCCGTGGCGAAAGACATTTGCGCCCAAATGTCTACCGACTTAGTGTCAGTCGTACCGCAGATCAGTGATTATTTGTGTCCAATTTGCTTCGCCATTGCCTATAGGCCTGTCCGGCTAGCCTGCCAACATATCTTTTGCATCCGGTGCATTGTCAAGATCCAACGGCGGAATGAGAAGCACTGCCCTTTGTGCAGAGCCGACACCGTCATGAAGGCGTCCGCGGGTAAGTAGACCATGTGAGCCGGTGCGAAGTGCACACTGACTGACACCGGTGATTACAGATAATCTGGATATTCAACTAGAGAGATACATGCGCAAGTACTTTCCCAAGGAGGCCAAGGAGAAGCAGCGAGCCAACGAGATTGAACGAGGCATCGAGGACTATGGTCCTGAGTACGTGCACTCTGAATGCTCTGTTATGTAGATGCTGTCGTGTTTTTACTTTCTTCTTCGCTTTCCTATAGATTTCTCAGAGATACCCTTGCCGGTTGTGGGTTGAGCTTCCGGCCGCAACGAGACTGAAATTTGAGAGAGTCTTGTGGTCTTTACTGGCGAGTGCTTCTTTTTTGCTCTCCAAACTCTCATCATCTTCGGCTCCCGCGTGCCTCGCATCCAACTATCCATTACCGCTCCATTCATACCTCATGGAATTTTTCGCGCAATTCAAGCATCTTGGGATTTTTCGACCGCTTCAAGAGCACTGGTGAAAATCTTTTGCAACTCATCCGTCTCCTCTAGGCCGACACTGACGCGAATGAGGTCCGGATCAACACCTAGACCGGCAGCCCAGTCAAGCTCTTGGTAATGCGCCAGCAGTACATAGGGCGACGTCAGAGTAAAGTTCGTACCCAGACTCGGCCCCTTGGCTGTCTCAATGGCGTCGAAGAACGCAATGGCGTGAGCCGTCTTGTGAAACGTAACGGACAGAAGCCCGCCATAACCCCCACCGGGCAATTTACAGAGATCGTAGTTGGGTCTAGTCGGATTGACTCTCGGGTAGTAAACACATTTCACCAGCGGGTGAGCCGAGAGGATGTCGCAAATGGTCTCGGAACTCTCGTTGATGCGCTCAATACGCGATGCAAAGTCGCGACTGTTCCGCTCCATGAAAACGACGTCCTCTGGCCAGTACGTGTCTTCCAGGTCCTCGACCCAAGCACCCTTGAGGGCCTGATAGTACTTGCCGCTTGGGTTCAGGATAGCACTGCCACCCATGACGTTGCAGTCGCCCGAGAATATCTTGGTCAGACTGCTTACGACTATGTCTGCGTATTGTAGTACGTCAATGTTGATGAAGCTGCCGATGGTCTCGTCCACAACGACGCCGAAATCATACTTGTCTGCAAGGGTACGGATCCGCGCCAAGTTGGGGCAGGTTAGGAGAGGATTGCCGGGAAATTCACAAAAGAGCGCCAGGAAGCGCTCGCCACTCTCCAGGCGCTTTTCGAGATCGTCAAGGTCCTCCTCTGAAGCGCGCCCATAGAAGAGACAACCAGGACCAAACTTTTGCAGGATCTTGAGCGTATCGACGTAGGGGAAGCCAAAGTTGACAGATTGGAGATCACCCCTAGCGCGCAGCATGGCCCGGTGTGCGTTGTAGATGGCATTCATGCCACAGGGAAATAGGTATACGTCGCTCTCTTGCAGGTCCTTCTGGTTTCTGGCGTTTTCTCCCATGGGAGGCAGTGAGCTGATGCTGGCCTCCATGTCGGCAGCCATGGCGCCCGCAATTCTACGCTTGATGGCCGACCTGGCGCGCTCGACAAGGGACAGGTCGAGGTTACGGCCAAAGCGTTCCTCGAGGAAGCGCAGGCTTTCTTGCGTTTCAAACGCACTCTGGGGGTTCACCTTGGCCGCTGGGTGGTGAGCCGTCTTGGTATCGTCGATGGAAGATGGGCGGTGGTATCTCTTCGGACCCCTGTGGGCTTTTCCCACTGGCGAGTTAGGCCTTGCCACGGGAACAAAGAGGCCCTCCTTCAATAGGCCGTGACAGAACTCGGCCCTTCGGCTTGAGATTCCGTCTCCTGTATGCTGCCAGTACTGCTTGGCAAAGGGGAACACCTCGGGGGCATACACCACAGCAGAGACAGTGGGTGACAGAGAGCGCAAGAGCGGTGAAACATCCTTGGTCATGTCGAGTCCGAAATCAATGACGGTGGCATCGGCAGAAATTGAGGCATCTGCGTGTTTCTTTACAAAGGCCAGACACCTTCTCGCAATACGAGGGGTGGGAAACAACATGGCTTTCTGGCCCGAAGGGCCATGCTGGGCAATTAGATCTTCAGCCAAGGCTACAATGCTCTTATGAATGAAGAATCTTGACAGAAAATAGTCTCAGCCGGGAACAGAGAGTTGATATGGAAGAAGAGGCTTACCTGGGATAGCCGGTGGTCATCTTATCGACGACCCATGATTCTCCCTCTTCATAGCCGACATTTGCCTTCCACGTAGGAAGCTGAACGCTCACTGCCTGCACTGGCTGTCAGCATAGACTTCACATTGGCTTTAAACAAGGAAAGGGAACCGCATGGAGTTGGCCGTGGCGTACATGAGCAGTGTCTGGCGGGATGGACTGTCCCAGTTCCAAGGCGGGCATTGTGGCAATATTGACTTGTGCTTTTTATCTACGTGAGCTGTACAATGTGTTAGACCGCAGTTTAAAGCGTGTAGGTTATGGCCAGTGGTCGACTTGCTCTATATTTCACCGAGGTGATGGTGTGTGGGCTTTTATGCGTCGTTGGTCTGTATGAGAATGAGATGAGTCAAGTAATTAGACTGGAGTTTGGATTGATCAAGATGTGGGTCAAGGCCGGTGCAGAGGTGGCTAAAGTAGGTAAGGCATCACGCAAGAGCCCTCCACTTGTACAGTCTTCTTTCTTTCTTTCTCCCTCTCTCTCTCTCTCTCTCTCCCACACTCACAAGTATTCTTTTATCTCCGACTCTCCCTCTTTCCATGTGTGGGATCGCACTGAGACTTTATGTAGTATAAATTGGGGATAAAGTATTGTAAATGGTGGCTCTATTCAGTGGTCATTGATGGAAGTATGCCGTCAATCGCGAATCGCATCAGATTTGCCTCCAGTGTCAATATTCCCCCGGTTTGCCGGCACTTGACTCGATGTGGGTGATTGGAAGTCGGTAGAAATCTGCCAAATCCCCAAAGGGCAATTTTTGGGGAGGACTGAGAGACTGTGACTGGTAATTGTTGGTCTGTGCCGTGGCATGCGGGGCGCCGAGGATCGGAGTGATACCCCGCGAGGGGCATTTGATTTCGTCTCTACCTATCCGTACCTCTGCGAGAGGTACGGATACCTACATACCTTTGGTACCTACCTACGAACTTAGTTCCAGAGCCCAAAGATCTCAAGTTCCTCAAAGTCAGGAAGGTGAATTTGGGCATCTACAGCGCGGCATTTACCAAGGGATATGATCATGACAGCTCCAAAATCAGATTTGATTTCCCATGAGCCCTCACTCACCTCCGGCCCCCATCCCCGAATAGACAGCGCGACGATACTAAACAATACTATTGGTGACGATGAAAGCCAAACAGTCAATGGCTTTGGACCAGTCTGTCGTATAAGTAGACTATCCATTAATTATGAGGTGAGAAACTCTAGTCGATACCGGTCTAGCATTCTCATAAACTTGGCCCACGAGAAGAAAAAATTTAACACGCATTTAAGCATTTGGTAGACCTCCGTGTCAGCCTGCATCAGCGAGATCAGCCTTGTGAAGAGCCTTTCTAGTGTCTATCTCAACGTTGAACAGTCCCCAGACAAGCAAAAGTATCTCAATATGACTCCCATATGTCCATAATCAAATCATCACTGCCCCGGCTTCAGTCTCATCTGCTCATCATCCTCAATAAATAGAACAATTGCCACGCAATGCATCCGTATCCGTACCTAAATCGTAAAAGCCAGCCTCTAAGCAAGAAAAATATACTGAAATAGCATCGGCACTCGTTCTGTGCGGCCGAGTAATCTGTTGATAATTTTGAGTCGCTCGACTACGGAGGTCTTGCCGCCTCGACAGTTGTTCCAGAACATTCCGGTGGAAGACAATCCGCTGCACTTCTCCACCTCGTTAATGATACTGACGCCTGCTGGTCTTGCTGCCGATACAGCTGATGCTATCGCTTGGTGCTACACTGATGGCGTCATCTTCCCAGGCACTGCGGCCACTGTCAATGCGGCTCTTTGGCGGAGGAGGGCCGCGTGCCGACACATAGGTCGGAGCTCGCGTGGCAGGGGGGTAGGCGAAGACTGGTTGAGTGTTTCGAACCGCCGTTGGGGCTCTGCTTGGAGCTCTAGTTGGAGCTCTACTCGGTGCTCTGCTAGGTGCCTTGCTAGGGACAACAGTAGCCGGCGCAGCCTGAGTAGGTGCCATACTAGGAGCTCGGCTGGGTGCCACAGTAGGAGCTCTACTACGCACAACAGTCGGAGGCCTGCTAGGTGCCCTGCTCGGCGCCCTGCTCGGTGCCATGCTCGGCGCCTTGGTGGGAGCGCGACTCGGGACAAGGCTGGGGGCCATAGTGGGCGCGCGACTGGGTGCGCGGCTAGGTGCTTGACTCCGCCCGCCCAATATCGTCTCAACAGTGGGCGGGGGCGGACGGACGGTGGACTGAGACCTCCCGCTCCGGGCCGAGACGTAGGTTCCGGCATCGTCAACGATGGTACGGGGCACGGCCGACCTGCTGGCCATACTGTGTCTTGAACCCGCATTACTTTGGTGCTCGTAATCGGTGAGCATAAGGGGGGCGGTTCGGGGAACGGCGGCTTGGCTGCGAGAACGAACACTGCTGCCTCTTTCGAGCTGATAGCGAGACGAGTGCCGGCTGCGGGTGTCGTCGTACAAGTCATCGGCGGCACGACTTCGTGCGCCGACCTGGCTGTACTTGGCCATGTACTGGGGAGGTGCTCGGTTATCCGACAGCGCCGGGTAAGCCTCTGGGTACCGGATCTTCTCGACGGTCCTCTCGACTTCAACATAACGTCCGGCTTGCGGATCGGCATACTGATCGGGGAAGGTGGAACGACGTTGGAACGGAGGGGCGGCTCCGGAGCCGTCAAACTCCTGGCGCGGAGCTCGTGCACGTTCCTTGCGCATCATTCCGTAGGTGACGGCAGCGCCGGCGGCGGCACCGACAGCTGCACCAAGAAGACTTCCGACAATGGTGTTTGTAGCAATACCGCCGCTCGATGGAGAGGGTTGAGATGGGGTTTCGTCTCTTTTGGTCGGCGATTCGATGACCGAGGTGGTGACGCTTCGACGGAGCATTGTGTAAGGGGGCTCGTTGCCGGGAAATGAGCCAGAGCGAGCGGCCATGGCGAAGACTGATGAAAAGGTTCCGGCAGTAGCGGAACCGGAAACAGAAGGCGGCGGCGGGGGCTCGGATGCTGCAACGTCGTAATTCCAATCCAGAATGCGGCCAGCCTCCTCCGTGGTAGACTGTGTCTTTCGAACAGTAGAGCCAGCGTAGGAGGGAGGATAGTTGGGAGGGGGTTGATATACAACTTCCATGGTGTTACCATCCAAGTCGGTCACAGTAGCCCGGTGGATATCGCCACTTTGAGTGATTAAAGCGGGACGAGTGAAGTGATCAGCCGGGACGCTGGATAGCAGGTTCGGATTGGCCCGGACGGCAAAGGCGTGGAAGTCGGTGACAGCGGTGGGGGAGGGAGCAGAAAAGACGGCGCGAGAGAGCTTCAGGGGCTCGTTGGAATTGCGGGCCTCGCGGATCTGGAAAATGGGGGTGAGCGGGGACAGTATACCATATGTGACGGTGCTGGGAAGTCTGCCAGGGCCTGAGGTGGTGATGGCCGTCTTGGAGTCGGTGTCGGCGCCTTCATTGACGTTGGCGTTGGCGTCCGGGGGAGCGGTCTGGGAATCCGTAGATATATAGTGGATGCCCAGGGATTGGAAGATGGCGGAGTAGAAGGAAGTTGAAGAGGGAAGATGGGAGACGTCAAAGTAGGGAGTCATTTGGGGCGGTTGATAGTAGTAGGCCAGTCCTGAACCAGGTAGGGCGGCTGCTTGAGGTGGGCGCAAAAAAGAGAGAGAGAGTGAGAGAGAGTGTGAAGCGAAGGGCTAGGTGACAGGTCGAGAATAGTTTCGTGTAAGTGCCGTTGCGCTTCCGCGGACGCGAGGGGTGAAAAAGAGGCGCAGACAGGCGACTCGAGCTAAGTAGGCTTGGGGGCAGCCTCGTTAATTTTTGCGTTCGTTGAGATGGTTGCAAAGGAAATTCCGAGTGAAACTGTCCAGGGCAACCTATTGATGATGGTGTGTAGGTTTGTGGTGGTGCACTGGTGATGGTGCACTGGTGATGGTGGTGATGGTGGTAGTGCTAGTGGGTGATTTGATGAGGTATGGATAAAGCCCAAGAGGTAAAGGTCCAGTATTGACAGGTAAGGTAGCGTAGCACCGAGAAAGATACCAGAATGCTAATAAGACAACAAGAAAGGGGAATCAACCTCAAGCATGTCAGTTCCCGACTGCTGCGTGGAATGAAATGCTTAAAAGAGACACTTCTTAGTCTGACAAGGGGGGAAAGAGGGCACACGCAACCGACAAAAACCAAGCTCTGTGAGGGTCAAGACTCAAGACTCAAAGTAAGCCTGCCCACACATATATGTCTTATGTACCTACCTTGCTCCTGTTGGTAACTAGGTACCTTGCTACGTCTCCGACAACCCACCCACTCGCAACTGCGAAGACCTAGGTACCTTGCCTAGGAGGTAGCAGCCATACGGGAAACCGGTACTTTGTCTTCAGGGTGCGGCGTGCCTAGGTAGGGTGTCATCGGCGGCACATCCATCACTCCAGTAGCACGAGGCCGCCATCGACTGACAGCCTGTTCCTGCTGCTGAGCCCAACCTACCTTACCTTACCTCAAGGTACCTTGGTGACAATCCCACTCACGAGTCGGCAGGGAGTCTCACTTTTCGCCCAGTGCCTTCTGGCCAAAGCCAATATGCAGCCAGCCCGTTCTGGACGAGTCCAGTGCAGCTGCGATGGTGGGTGGTGAACTGCAGCTAGTGGCCGGTGAAGGAAGTGGCATGTCCACATTGCGCCGGGGCACCCAGCCGGAGACCTCAGACGGGTCACGGAAGCATAGGACGGACCACCGTGATCTTTTTCTGCGCCTATGAAAGATGAGGCTATCCTAATGCCGCGCCAGCCAGTTGAGCACAGCCTGTACAGAGTACAAATGTACGGATACCAACTACGTGTAATTCGTCCCCATCCTTCAGATATCGGCCTTCATTCCCTCGTTCTGAACGGTGACTGGTGTCATCGGGACTGTGGCCAGGTCCAGCCGCCCGACGATTTACAACCGGCCAAAGGCAAGCACCGCTTGGTATCGGGGGCCGGAGCTGGGGCTGGAGCTGGGCTACGTGTACGAATACATGGCAGAACCGAGGACCGAGATGTCAAGTGGTGGTTCAGGGGGGGTGGATCATCCTGCAAGCAGCAACGGCTGCCGCATCTCATGATCTAGATCGCGTCGAGAGCATGGTCGTCGATGTGTGGTCTATATGATATTGATATGGGTCTCAGTCTCTGTACGCCGTACGGAGTATTCTTGTGGATAGTGGCACTGGTTTCGTTGTGCCGCGTCGTGTCTGGCTGCTATTCGTCTCTTCAAGCCCCGCCTAACCCCCATTGCCTCAGTTGCTGCAGACTCCTTTGTCGTGCCCTGAGTTCAACCAGGATGAGAGTAGCCACCCTCCCGGGACCGCTAGAAGGATGGATCAAGGTTGTAGGTGCCCGTAGAATCCCTGGCCCATACGAAAGCTGGTGGCGGTGGAAGTACATGCGGAAGAGAAGGAGAAAGAAGAAGAAAAAGAAAAGAAAAAAACTCCTTGAATACCAACAGCAACCTAATTCACACAAGGTTGGTATTGAAAATATCCAAGACTGTCTGTCGGGTCATAAGTGAGCTAAACCGGCCCAGAAATGCCGCATTGTAGATATTTCGACATTGGGGAGCGAAAGGCGGTCGTCAGAAATCACTTGGATCAGAAGTCGCGTCTATAGCTACTGTCATTGGACGGATTGAAAGCAGGAGTGCGTGGGACTCCCGTCGAAAGCGTTTGTCGCTTCCAAATGGTCCGCTGGAAGCAGTACGGAGTACCTTAGTAAGGTACCTAAGGTATCGAAAAGCCGCTCGTTGCGCGCGGTCCAAATGGAAGCAGCTGCCGTGAGGTCTGGATGGTTAACCAAGTGAGGAACCTCAGGTACCTTGTACACACATCAAAGTGCAAAGTTAGATATCTTTCGTAAGGTAATTAATGGAAGCTATTATCTAATCCCCGTTTTCTGTCTCCCTCCTTACTGTCTCAAGTAGGTATCTTAGTTTGGATTTCCCCGGCAACTTGTGTCCTTTGACTTAAGGTATAGGTAATACCTAGCTAGGTACGGTACCGAGGGTCTTTTTTTTTTTTTTTTGTGTGGAAAAGTTGCTGTACCTTACTCTGCAGTGTACTTTTCCAATTTCGCATATGTCTGTAACTCACCGCATCGATCCCCCTTCCAACACGTCGCAGCCTGCCAGGCTCTTTTGCGGTTTTGCCTTGACCGACTTGCCCTGATGTGCTGTATTCTCTGAGTCTCCGTACCCCGTATGGTTATCAAATCCCACAATGAGGTGGTTTGCGCCATTCCATCTACGAATATAGATGTCCTCTCCACTTTGCTTGGGCAACCGCAGCTGCCAGCATGGTGCACCCAGCCTCGCACTTTCTACCTACCTAGCTCGCGTGCTTCCAGTTCCGTCAGCTTGGCTGGTGAGCTGGCCATGCCGCTCATCGTCGGATCTCAGCATGCTCAAGTCTTGACCTCATACCAGAAGGCCACTAATGCAACTATACATCCACCTTGCCTGCTGCCCAACCTCCCATCAGCTTGAGTCCCCCGGTCCCCGACTTGTTTTGTGAGCTCAGTAAGGAGGAGTCAGGACGCATGCGCATATCTATCCGTACCTATGGACGCATACCTACATATTTCCTCCCAGCCAGTCGGACACATCGGTCCGCGCCGCCCTGTTCCAAAGGGCCCCCAAAAGCTACCACCCAAAGCTAACCCCTACTTTTGTCAAGTTTGTCCGTCGATTCTGTCACATTCAACCCGTCAAGTGGTAATGCGGTGTACACACCTGCGCAGTCTGACTCCCTCACATGCACACGCGGGGCAGTCCCATGCATGGTAAGGCGAACGAGCCTCACTATTGTCGCGTCCCCTTCGTCCCTGAGCAGACTGAGGTGACCAACAAACACTTCATTTTGCTTTCCATGCCGTAGTCCACTCAGGCATCAATGACATGCCAAATCACAAACTCAACCCTTACCTGACACGGGTCCTACACCTTTGATTCGACCGTACCTGGTCCATACCCATCAGTTCAACACCTTAGCAGTCCACGAGTCTATGTGACTGTCTTGCGCCCTTCCTTTTCGTCCATGATGCTGTGGGCATCTAGTCGAGGAAGCTAGGCAGCCACACACGCGCAGTTGGCTCACACTCAAAGAACAGGGGATCTCAATTTATAAACCCATCAAACACGGTAGATATATTCATTGTCTTTCTAAACGGCCTCCAAGTAAGAGGCCTTGCACAACCTACCCGCGTAGCCGCTAGTATTCAGCTATACACCATCAATCCTTGAGACGTCGCCCTTATTTTCCATTTTTGTGTATGCTCGCCAGCGACACCGCTGAGCGTTTGGTCGCAACGCACCGTTGTACAAGTGAAAACCAAAGAGTGGCCCATTTGTCACGACACTTGCCGAGAGCACCAAAGATACTACTCTAACAATAGCCAAGGCCGCCACCCCTATAGATCCTGAGTGAGGGGCAAACAAAGAGAAACGACAATCCAGGTTGAAGTTGAACCGTCAAGGCGAAGAAAGCGCCTTGGACCCGTTGTCGAACGCCCCGGTTTTGGTTGCAAAAACAGCGACAGCGCTGGCACAGGTAACCCAAGTTTCCGAGGTCGCGCGCGGACACCATGATGTTGTATCGCGGTTCCATGAGCTCAACCCCTCGACTTTCAATTTGCTGCTCTGGACGCAATTCTGTACCTCCAGGCGCCTGGGGGCCATCACTTACATTGCCGCTCTGATTCGCCATCACTCCTGCCTGGGATCGTGTCCCCGCAACATCAACGCCTGAGTAGATGTCGGGTTTCGACTACTGAATGTCCCAGGAATCCTCAGCAGCGTGGCAAAACTTGCTGCAAGCAACGCTGGCGGACAAGCTGTAGTTGCTGATGGAAATCTTCTCGTCCACGAGGCCATCGGCAAAGGTATCGGCGCCCTTTGCCATGGCACCAACGAAAACGCAAACACTCTCCTTGGGGGCGAGCGTGTCGATGTAGTCCCTAACATGTACCAGAGGGGCCTCGAAGCTGAGCGTTACCTTGCGGCAGTTGGGCGGAAGGTGGTCGGTGATAGGGTTCTGGATGACACGAAGCAGCTTCTCCTGCGAGTTGGTCGAGCGGATAGACAGGCGATGCAGCAGTTGAACCATCAGACCAGCAAAGCGCTTGAATGTTCGTGGGATACGGACAGACGGTGAGACCTCAATCAAGACGCCCTTGGCGGTATGAATGTAGATCTGAAGCTTGCCGGCCTTGTTGATGGGGGAGTCGAGCAGGGTCAGAAGGCACTGGTCAGTATGGTCAGCATGTTGGATGCAGACACGGCGGGCTAGGCGCGTTGAGGCGCAAAAGCAGTAGCACAAGCAAAGGCAGGGGCAAAAGCAAAAGCAAAAGCAAAAGCAGTTCGCTGGTAGTATCCAACCTGATGTGTGATATCCGGGCGCGCGTCACTAATGTCGCGGTTCATCTTGCGCATGACTCCAATGTGCTCGTCGCTGTTAAGTAGCGAGTACTTCTCCTCACGTTGGACGCCGTTGCGGCCGGTGCCGCCATGTGAAGCCTTGTAGGTCTCAAGACTGGCGTTGGAGAGAACGACGATGAGGCGCTGAGAATCCTTGTCGGTAGGTGGGATGGCGGTGTGCTGCTCAGCGACCAGCTGAGGGAGAGCCGGAGGGGGCAGCGACTGGGTGCCTGTTAGATTACGCAGGTTAGCACAACAAAGTCAATCAAGCAAAGCTAGCTGTGTAGGCTTGCCCTTGTGCAAACTGTCTGCCATGTCTTCCATCGTGTCGCGACTGCCTGTGTAGTACTTGATACTGGATATGTAGTGTTTGGGGTAGGGAACGAGGCGGAGTGTGCAGGGCGGCGGGGTAGCTACGGCTTTTAACCACGAAATGGTTCGCGCAATTGAAAGAGTAGGACTGGCGCAGAGGCTGACCGCGAAGAAGGAGGTTCCCGAAATGACAGCGATGACAGCGGCAGACAATTGCAATAGGGAGGAGCCTTGGACTCGGGGTTTTCACTCGATGCAAGGGAAAACGTGAGTCGCGCAAGGGACTCACATTGGGAACTTACGAGGTCGCTTGACGCCAGCACGGGCCTCTGGGGAAGACATGTTGATTTTTTTTTTGGGGAGGGGGAAACTCGACGATCTGGTGGTAGAATGTGGTGCAGGTTTTCCCCGGCTCTCTCTTCTGTTTTCTCTTCTTGTCTCGTTACACAGACAGGAAGGGGCGTACAGCAGGCGCGTTGTTGCACGCAGTGACCAATGATGGGGAAAAAGTAGCGGAGGAAAGAGAGATAAAGAATATTTGAGTGAACAGATATGGGATAAATCTGGTCCAGAGGTGAGGAGAGGAGAGGGACTGCGTGAGAGAGAGAAGTAAGTGGTAAGGTGGTGAGCGCGAGTCGAGAGGGAGGAATGTTGGTTTTGAATTTTCCGACGAGTGAGGGACCAAATCTGAGGGAGGATGATTCAGGCCGGGTTGCGAGGGAAGAAGAGAGACTACCTCAGTTGGCTTAGTCCAAGATGTGTGGGTGGCTTACCTAATGAGGGACACCACCCACAGTCAACCTAAGGTGAGGTACCGTCCCCTCTTCGAACCTACCTCGTCCGGATGGATACTCACTCAGTAGTGACTATGTACTGAGGGCTCTTGGGACTTTGGGTGCGGGGTGAGAGTGAGGGAAACGTAGCTGGGACACATCACACAGTGTCGAACTCATCCGCTCCAAAGAGTGTTGCCTCGAGAGCACAGTCCATGACAGTGCGAGGCCTGTGTGCCAGGCCAGAGCTGGGAGGGAGGTACTTCTGAATCGTCCCTTCGAGTGGAGGGCTCATCTGCGGTCCCATTTTAGCAAACTCTGGCCCACCTTGCTCAAGGTAGGTACTTCGTGCGCCGTAAGGTTCCATAGGTAGGTAGGTACGTTGCTTTTTTATGCAATCTTCCGCACGCTCAAAGTCACGCAAGGCACTCAAGTTTCTCTGGTCGGCTCGGGTCTCAGCCACTCGACTTTTAGCCGCTACGGCGAATGTTTGCCGAGCCATCGAGTGCGTTACTCCCGAATAGAAAAACCAGTGCTCCTTGGGTTCCTCGTCCGCTAGCAGACTTCGTCTCTGATTTTGTCAAGCCAATTTCTTTTATAAGTCTCAGCAAATTCAAGGGCCGGCTTCCGTCTTCGCGCATCGAACCCCACCTAGGTCGGGGAATGATGAATCTAGGCGTCTGTCTGCCGACGCTGCCGCCTACTAGCCATAGTATTGTTCTCAGTGGCTTTTGCCAGCCGCTAGAGGTCGGTGCCTTCAAATATCCGTGACCCATGATGCCTCGGAGAACACGTAGTGAGGGTGTGGCCCACAACCCGCTGAGCGATAGAAGTGATGAAGACACGCTTGAACCTTAAGTTGGCCAGACATTGAAACAACCAGCCGCGAGAGAATGAAGGAGACACAAAGCCTCGGCTGCCTCGACAGCAGACATCTCTTCACATGAGTAAAGCTCCTGCCTAGCTACGTAGTATCGGTGTCGGCCCTCTGAGCTCACATAGATATAGGGTCAGAAAGGCCTCGAGTGGGCCATGAAAGTTCATTGAGTGTTTTGTTAGTCTGACAAAGAGCGTTTGCTGCGATTAAATCGTAAGGGAAACATCGATCCTGTATTAAGAGAGCGTGGTGTGCCTTGAAGTGGGGCAGTATGATGAGTTACATAGTCTATACCATAGAGAGAGCGGAACGGTCATTCAGTTGTATGGACACATTGTACTACTTAAGGTAGGTAATACGGCGGCCTTTACATGGCTTGCGCCCCGGTGAAGAACCTACCTGCTTGGGACGTATAACACCTCAAATATAAACAAATCAAGGCAGTCCATATTCGTTCCCAGTTCGAGGGCGGATTGGATATGTATTGCCAGGGACCAATCGCCCCGGCGCATCAGGGGTGTTTCCGTGAAAACTGTATGAAACAAACCTACGGCTAAGTTCCTACAGCCATCAAGGCGAGCTCCGTGCTAACTGTTGAGAGAGAAGGAGACATAGTAGCGCGATGAGCTAATGTAAGGTAGGTAGGCCTTGACATTGCAGACCAAGGTAAGGTATCTAAGGTGGTTAACCTCCGTGCCCCCGAATCCCAGGAACCTCCTGTCAAAGGAAGCCACAGGCCGAGCCAAGCCACCTCGTCTAATTTAAGGTTATCTTAGCGTCTGATCTGACCACTCTGTCGGACCCCAATCCAGCAGGCCAGAAAACGGCCTGGGCATCGGCAGAAACATGGTCCGCTTGGCCAATGAGAAGCTACGAGATAAGGTCCATTTTTCGATTTTCTACTCCCTCCAGGAGTCTTGGGCATACCTTACAGTATCGAGGTCATCATCACAGCCAGTGCCCTATCTAAGGTATCACGCGACACCCTCAGCAGTTTCAAGCTCTCGCGTGGCATTGATTCGACAGACCGGTTTCGGCGCTATTGCACATTACCAACTGCCCACAATGTCAGCTCAGACAATGGCGCAAGCGCGTGCAGTCGTACGCGAGCTCAACGGCGTCGTCGTGAGCGCCGGTCTCATGCAGAAGACGGTCAAAGTGCGCGTGGGTGGCCAGCAATGGAAGCAAAAGGTCCAAAAGGTAAGATATAGAATTCAGAGGCACCAGCTCTTGAACCATGACAACTATACCTTTGAGGAGACTAACCCAGCCTCGGCTTCCTAGATGTTCACGAAACCAACGCACTACCTTGTCCACGATCCCAACTCGTCCCTCCGCACAGGAGACGTGGTTTCCATCGTTCCCGGATGGAGGACATCACCCCACAAGCGCCACGTTGTCAAGAGCATCATCGCGCCCCACGGTACACCCATTTCAGCGCGCCCACCGGTACCGACCGAGGAGGAGAGAATTGCGGCCAAGGTTCAGAAGAGAGAAGCCAAGGTTGAGAGACGCGAGACGCGGCGGCAGGAGAAGTCTTCAAAATCGACTCCTGAGCCCGATGTCGACTAAGGCCTGGGTCTGGTGGAAGAAAGGTTAAGTACGCACAAGACCAGGAAAAGGTCCAGTAAAGATTACAACACAACGCTGTATAACACAAAGGGGGAAGGAAAGAGAGGAGCTGACACAGAGCACTGGGAATCGTCTTCACTCCAGTTGACGATACCATACCCTTGGCCTGATTTGTGGCTGGAAACGTGTGGAAGAACATTCGAGGTCACCGGCAAATCATTGTACAAATACCAACGCTATTGCAATTGTCTCTTGTCTTAGCCATTTACGCAAAATATTTTGTAAAACTCGATTTGTCTCGTTCCTTTGCCGATAATCTAGCGCCCCTGGAGGGTATCACTTCCACGTGCGCTCCCCTAGCCAACCGACCAATTGCCATGTAACGCAGAAACATAGAGAAACAAAAACACCTGGCACATCGCATGCCTATTGCCCTACATCATCCACCTCGCTCGCCAAACTCCCTGGCCCAATCCTCATATTCTTTCAAGCCCGTTTTGCTCACACTAGGTCTGATAGTTGTCAGACTTGCCTCAAAGTCTGCTAATGAAATTGGTCGGATTTCGTCCATGGTCATGTGTAAGAGAGCCTCGCCCAAAGAGCGGAGCGGACCCATGGCCGCATCTTTAGCCAGTGCCGTTATATCGGAACCCGAGAATCCTGTCCCCGCGTTAGCATTAGTTCTGTTTATCTACACGCCTCTAGAATGACGACGAACTGCTTACCATCTGTGAGGAGAACGAGCTGCTCAATGTCCGTATCGGACAGGACATGCTTTTGCTGCCCCAGAAGTGTTCGAAACTGGGTAGAGCGAGTCTTGGACTCAGGCAGCGGTATGTATTGACGCCTCACAAACCTGCGGCGTGCGGCTTCATCAATAGCCCAAGGCAGATTGGTTGCCGCCAAGACAAGCACTCGATTCGCATCTCCTCTGCTCTTGTCCTTTTCGTCCACGACCCGACCCGCCGCAGCTCGCTGTAAATCGCTCCACTGAATGAGAAACTCAGTCTTGATCCTCCTTGTTGCCTCGTGCTCTCCCGACCCAGACCTCTGAGAAAGTAAGGAGTCAATTTCGTCAACGAAGATAATGCTTGGTGCCAGGGTCTTCGCCAGAGAGAACAATGCTCGGACGAGCTTCTCGGACTCGCCCAGATATTTACTCGTCAAGCTGCTTGCTGAAATTGAGAAGAACGTCGACCGCGATTCTGTTGCTACCGCACGCGCCAGCATGGTCTTGCCCGTGCCTGGCGGACCAAAAAGCAGCATTCCTCTTGCAGGCTCCCGAAGCCCCATGAATAAGTCCGGTCGTAAGAATGGGTAAACCACGTTCTCCCTGAGTGCGTTCTTGGCTACTTCTAGGCCGGCAACATCGCTCCATCGAACCTCATCGCCCTGAACAATGATCTCGTTGAGAATTTGCTTTGCGGCTGCTTCGTCCACGCCGGTTGGCAGGTTTTTCATAATCTTCTTTTTGGTTTCCTTCCAGGCTGTCTTGAGCGATGAGCCCTCCTTTTCATCATCGGCAGATGCTTCGGAAGGAGGGCCTTCCGCATCAGCTGCGATTGCGTTTTCTTTCCTCTTTCCCTTACTCTTCTTGCCAGGTACCTTCGGACTGGTTTCTCCATTGTCCGAGCAACTCGAAGACGAACGGCCCCGCGACGATTGCACGTTACGACGAGATCTATCGGCTTTGTCCTGTTCTGATCCGCTCGTGAGATTATTATTGGGCCGGGTAGGTATGTCCCCGACTGGCTTCCTCCGTATCCTGGCCACGTCCGGCGTAGTCTTGCGTCGCAACTCTGTCTCGTCAGCGTCAGACGATGGGGGTCGTTCGTGAGGTGACGCTTTGGATCGGGAGACTGAGGACGTTTGGTCCCTTGAACGCGAGGTCCGCTCTTGCCTTGGGGTGCCATACTCGACCCCTGAAGCATCTTGATAGGACATGGCATTCAAGGCGCTCGATGCCGCACTCACGGACAAGGCTGATGGCCGCACCTGTGATGAATCCTCAGATGTTCTTGCGCTACCAGTCGCATCTGGAAAAGACGGATGAGTTTCTCTAGGCGTCACGAGCCGTCGGGTATGTACGTCCCATTGCATGCCAGACGAGGGCGGCGGCTTGCGGGACTGCTCGGCAGGTGTCACAGGCGCAGAAGATGAGACCTCTGGTACTACTGGAGACACTCTGGCGAGTCTTTCTCTAGAACTCAGAGCAGTCCATGCAAGAGTTGCAGCCTTGCTGGCGCCAGGTCCTTCGGTCTTGGACAACTTGCGACTCGACTTTGCAGATTTCTCGCCTGGCTTGCCGGTCCGCAAGGTAGTCCGCATGGTGTACTTCTCAGGACTTGCAGACCTCATAGTGGGCTCTTTCCTAGGCGTTACTCGGGGAGAGTTTGATGGGCCGACAAAGGGAGAAGCCACGGGGCTTTGGTCGCGACCGACGACAGCCTGCTCAGATGAGGTTCTGTAGGGCAACGATGGTCTTTTGGGTAGCGCGGGCCGCGAGAGATCGGGATATCTTATAGCTGGAATTGTACCTTGGCCAATGTAGCCTCGTTCAGGAGTTGACATGGTGTATGGGTCGGGGGAGATAGAGCGGTTCGGGGTGGGTGGGTTATTGGGTTGAGGAGTCAAGGCGTCTTGTCGGGATATTCGTAACGCTTCAAGCAGGTCAATGCGCTCCTTGCACTGCAGTTCGAGCTTGCGCAAAGAATCTATCAAGGCGTCTTCCGTTTCGGTTCCAGCAACGTAATTGGGTAGCAGCTTGGTGATGCGTTGGTCGTTGAGCTGATCTAGGGCATTCCTCCAGCATCGCATCGCCTCGGTCTCGTCACCCTAGAACATGGGAAAAACTTGAATTAGCACACACGAATCATCCACTGGTATGCCACGCCATTGATATCCGGAGCAAGCAAAGATATACCTGGCTTTCATAGTAAACAGCAGTGGAGCATTTCAAGTAACTGTCGTCGTATGTCTTCTGGAGGATGGCAAGGCCCCGAGAGCGTGACATGGTACTGGAAGCCAGACCATAGTATGCCCAAGTCTGAGTGGAGATGCGATGTTATTCTGACGTTAGGACAGGAAGTTCGTCACGAACGGGAACTTCGAAGCAGTCGGAATGGCCTTTTCACGGCGGGGGATGTCGTTGAGCGAACTGGAGCTGAGGTTGAGGTCAGGCAAAGTTCAGGACCAGGATGCCTTTGTTTCTCTCGCAGAGGGATTGCTGGCGAATGATGGCGGGGGGGAAGTGAAGGCTAGCGGGCCGCAGTGACGTCGCTCTTGGTGGCTGAGTGGGGGTAAAGCAATGGAAAGGCAGGCGGCAACTTCCAGCGGAGGTCATCTGTAGGTAGCGTGGCACGCGTCAGTAGCTAGCTCCCTCCCTAAGGTAGGTAGGTACCTACCCGCTTGCTTTAGTGAGGGTAAGGTGAGTTAGGTACCAGCCAGGGGAACACCACTACCCACGATATCAAGTGCCTTGCTAAGAGGAGCAGAGGTTATGAACGTGAGGTCGATCAGGCGCCTCCTCTGCCAACCTAATACATTAACTATGTACTTATCTCGGGGTACCTATCTGTAGATGCTCCCTCAATATCAGTTGCACACACAAGTAGGTGAGGTACGTACTCAAGGTAGCGTGGGTAGGTCAAAATACCAAGACTAACCAAGCACCTGATACCTAGCAAAATTACCTATACCTCAGGTAGGCGATAAGTCACAAAGCATACTTTCGAAGCACATAGTCCGTACGGATACACAACGCTGGGCCACAGCAACGCGCGGGGACGGCTGTGTATTGAAGGAGTAGAATACCCACCCTTTGGCTTTAGCTATTTGCTATTAGTCTGCCTGTCACACAGTCCCCGCCAAAGCCTTAAATTCAGTCGAAGACAGATCTGATCAGACAAGATATCTTTCGATCAAGAAATTTAGGGATTGGCTGAGCCAACTTGCCTGTCCAGGGCGACGCAAGGTAAGGCAGACAAGGCATTGTATTACTGCGGTACCATTGGCATCGCTTCGACTTGGGCCTCGTAAATGCCATATCATTGGCCAGGCACCCTCGGCTCCCCCATCACGTTCTCTTTAAGACAGTAGGACCCTGATCTCTCCCGTCGTTCGAGGGAATAGGTCTCGCAGCAACTGAGGCTCGTCACCCTCATCAGCCGGCGCACCGTCACCGGCTGACAGCTCGTCCGCCAAGAGCAACATCTGCTCGACGTGCTCAAACTCGTTGCAGAATCTTTCCGCAGCCTTCTCCGTAAGGTCTCGCGCTAGACTTGAATCTTGCAGACGCTTCACATTCTCCATGGCGTCCATCAACGCCGATGGTAGGAAGTCGTCGAGGGACTGACTAGCTCGACTCAGAGCTGGCGGCTGTACCTCCTCAAGCGAGGCTACCTTCTTCACGTCGCTGGCATCCGTTGTAAGATTGCTCAAGGATTCAAGAATCTGCGCCAGACCAGAGCCACGACGAAAGAACTGGTATTGCTCTTCCGTGAGCTTCTTACTCTCCTCTTCAACCCTCTCCTGCAGCCGCTGTGTTCTTCTTTGAGTAAAGTCGAAAGTCTCGAGAGTATGCTTTGCTGCAAGCAAGCAGTTGGTTATGAAGATGGCACCAGCCGGTTGTCTTACACCTTTAGCCATATTTTCGCAACCTGCCAAGAAAGGCTCAAAGGCCTCTGCAAGAATCGGTTGGAAGTCGGTCTCGCGGTCCGATGACGACGCCAGCGAAATCTCGTACGTTTTCATGACCGCAGTAAGCTGCTTCAGCGCTTCGAGCAAAAAGTCTGGAGGGACAAGATCCGAAGGCGTCTGCTGGAAATCGCCTTGCAGCGTTGCAATATGATCCCTCATGAGCGATCGGAACTGTCTTAATGCGCCCGACTCAAGTCCCGCCATAAGCTCTAACAGCGCACACTCGTTGCCCAAAAGTTTGGCAAAGGTGTATCGATAGAAGCCAAGAATATTCGCCAACTTGTAGGCGAGAATAGTCTCTTCATTGGACTGAATGACCTGCTCGACCCTCTGCCTCAGCATTCTCGTCGCCCCTGAGACATCTCGGTCCACAAGGTCGTTCAGCGCCTTGAGAGCATCAAAGTCGGGTGCTGTCTCAGCGTCACCTTCGCCCAGAAGCTGCCAGAGCTCATTAGCCCGGCCTGTCTGGAGTCCCTTGGCAATTTCGTCGCCCTCTGAGACGAAGAGTATTTCCAGAGCCTCTCTCTCGCTGACAGTGGCCGAGTGTATCCAGGCAAGCATGTCGCCTACATAACGAAGCGGATCGTGAGCAGCCATCTCAATAGGCTTAACCGAGTGGTCCTCGAGACCTGCGGTCGTTGTGCCTGTCAAGGCAACATGAAAAGAGTCGGATAGTATGCGTTCTCTAGCTTCCGCAAAGAAGTCTAGGCAATTCTGGAAGAGCGATGGTCGCTCTGCAAGGACTCTAATGGCGCGACGGATTGACGAGTTCATCTGGGGGTTCTCGAGGTTCAGTGTTCTGAATTCCCGCTGTACCCATTTGTACAACTTTTGAAAGGCAAGACCGAGATTCTTGGACGTCTGCTCCATAAGTTGCAGGCCCAGCGTCTGCTTCTCAAATCCGAGTAGAATCTCGCAATCCTGGCTGACTCGTTTTGCTTTGTAAAGAGCAGCGAAGTATTTGTCGTCAACGGGCTCGGCGGTTGATGTCAGAGAGACGACCTCATCATCAGAAAGAATAAAGTGACTGCGTAACGTCTTGAGAAGTTGCTGTTTAGTTTCCACGTCTGCTCTCTGCTTCATCAACGATGAAGCCTCTTCCAGGATAGGTCCCGTCTCTTGTTGAGCTGCAGTAATCCGACCCCTCACATCTTGATAGTTGTGATTTAACTTGTCCAGGGTAGCCCCTATGCGACGCAATTGCTAAAGGGGGTGTTGGTTAATGAATTGGTGATTTTGGGCCAAGGGACTCACATCAGCGACTCGGCCAAACTGGGAGACAATTTCCCCATTGCTGTCAATTACCTCCTTCTGCAGGCCCAACCGTAACTGACGGCGTGTCTCGGGCGTATTCTTGAGGTCGCGGCTGTCGAGCAATTGCAAGGCATCCCGGAATTCGGAATCGGCATACGATGTCGAAAGAACAGTAGTCACCTTGGATGAGATGGGGTTCAGCGCCCTCGCCGATGATGTGGTTGAGGGTGACTGAGGCATACTGCCGATACTAGAACTGGACACATCTCTGCTTGGCAGTGGTCTCAAGGAAGGCGGCGGAGCAGAGACCATGATGAGCAACGCTAAGTGAGCCGGCCGAGATCATCAATGCGCTCGAAAGAGTGGTTGATAATCAAAATTGGAAGAGGTCAGGATTCCAGGTTGCTGCTACTAGTTGCCTATGAAAGAGTTGACATGCCCTTCTCGGTTTGACCGACACCTGTAGGTATGGTCTACCTAAGACATGGAGGATAGAGGACTACCTTACCTTAGGTTCTTACCCATCGCTACTTGTAAGCACCTACTGAAGGTACATTGAGTTACGTAAGATACTCTGTACTTCTACTAGACGCTGAAGCACGTACCTACCAGGGACGCCTTATGTAGTACTCCACGGGCTTTGAGGCACCTTACCCCGTACCTTACCCGGGCAGGCACGCCAGGGCACCTCAAGGTGAGATAAGAGATAAATGAACGCGTTGATAAGGCACATTATGACGTCCAAAACCCTACCTTAAGGTACCTAGCCAAAGAATGGAAGGCGGTCGAGAATGATAGCTGGGGGTAGCAACGGCAAAAATGACTTGACCGCCTGCTACCTGTGTCCCACCTTCCCCACTCATGGTGTCGCCTGAGCCATGCCGTCACCTGTATGTGTGCGCACCACCAGCTACCTACCTGAGCTGCCTACCTTACCTGCTGGAGGGACTTAGGCGATTGATATGGGAAGCCAAAGCAACGAAAAGGTGCTGGCCCCTCCACGACCCGTTCTGAACTTTGCCAGACACCACTTTACCTTATTACAGCTTCGGTATCTTTTGGGTATCTCTGCTGTCTACCGCTCAGGTGAAAACCGTCCGTCCGTTCCTGGCGACCTTAGCGTGGCCGACAAAACGGACATATGCAGGCGAGGCATCTATCTCTACCTTGAGCAACGTGCCGTCTTCTTCTTCTTCTTCTTCTTCTTCTTCTTCTTCTTCTTCTTCCTACCTTACCATACTCATGCAGCACGCAACTCTTGTGACTGTAATCGTCTTTCTACTCTCCTAACATCGCACTGAAAGATTCTCTGTGCAGTAGCTAGCTTTCTCGTCTCACAGCGTTGCCAACTTACGTACCTAAGCTGACCAGGCGTCACTCCGCATAGGCTTGTGAGTCTGCAGTCTTTCACCCCCAACACCTCCCAAAGCTTCTGTCACCTGCAACCACCCGAGATGGCCACATGACCGCCAAACCTCATATCAAGTGACGACAACAGGGCCTACCTTTAACCCGTTTTGCAGTTTACACCTCACCACTCTCCCGAGCTGAACTCAAACTCCTATAGGAATGCGATAACAAGCCGACTTTTGCCTCCAAATCCGACTGCCTCTCGTCGCACAAGCTACATTCGTTCGTTCTTTCTCCAAACGAGGCCCCGACCCAGCGCCATGAGCGACGACCATCAGCCTTGACGACCGATTACTCCTTCGTGAAATCCGATTTGCCTCTCCTCGACATGGCTTCCAATATCTTCCCCCAATTCGGCCCGCTGTCTCGAGGGTCGAGGTCGTTTTACAAGGAACTCAGAGGAGATACTGACGGCGACCTGGATATCGAAGAACACGCAGGTCTGGATGTGGACGAGGAGAACCTGCAAGAGCAGTTCCAAGACTACGACCTGGATCACATGCCAGGCCTTACAGCAGAAGACAGCCACGCGACTCTCGACAGCAATGCCAACCTGCTCAAAACACCTGCAGGAGCCACACCGGGGCCGACTGGTCGCGGAACTCATCGCGGCGGAATCCGACAAGAGTCAAGTCCACGATGGCTGGGACATGATGACGATGGAGATAATGACGTCCCGGCTTCTCTGCTGGTTGAGCCACACGAAGTAGTAGCGCAATCCAAAGGATCTGGGCGGAGGAAGCCAGCTGCTACTCCACCGAGGCAAAACGCAATACCTGGTCCCTCTAGTCGACGTACTCATGCCCAATGGGAGGCAACACAAGCGCAGCAAAGGCTTCATCCAACAGATCCCGTCAAGCCAATCAGGCCCCACGCGAAGCGATATTCCAGAGGCCTTGCATCTAACAACGAGAAAGAAAAGGCTCTTTGGAGATGGGTTAATGTCTCGAACCTCGACTTCTTCGTTCAGGATGTCTACTACTACTATCGAGGGAGCGGTTTCTGGTGTATCGTGTGCGCGCGGGCGTTGCATCTGGTGTGAGTGAAGACTTTAGGTCTGCTGGATGTTGACAGTACGAGTGAAAGATGCTGACCAAATACTTCCAGAGAATCTGCCTTCTTCGCCGTGTTTTTGACCTTTCTCACTCAATGCGTTGAGTATACGAAAATCCCCAACAGCAACTCTTTGAAAGAAGTTACAACTCCTCAGTGCACCAGAAAGATGTCATTCATGTGGAACGCAGGATTGTGGCTGTACGTCTTCTACTTTATATGGAAGACAGTACAGTTCACCATGGATCTTCGGCGTCTAAACCACATGCGCAACTTCTACATATATCTACTAGAGATACCGGAGGAGGATATGCAGACCGTTTCCTGGCAAGACATCGTTGCTCGCGTCATGGCCTTGCGGGACGCGAATCCCAAAACAGCCATCAACGTGCGCCCATCTGCGCGAGAGTGGATGCGCAATCAGTCCAAGGAGAGGCTGGATGCTGCAGACATTGCAAACCGTCTCATGCGGAGAGAGAACTACTTGATAGCCATGATGAACAAGGATGTTCTCGACCTTACGCTCCCGATACCCTTCTTGCGACAACACCAGTTCTTTTCCCGGAGTTTGGAATGGAACTTGCATTTCGCAATCCTGACTTATGTCTTCGACTCAAACAACCAGGTTCACCAAGAGTTCCTCAAAGCCGATCGCCGAGGACTTTTGAGCATCAAGTTGAAGTCGAGGCTGGTCTTCGCCGGGATCATCAACTTATTGATTGGGCCATTTGTGGTCGCTTATCTCATTGTGGTGCATGCATTTACGTACTACAATGTAAGTGCCTTTTCGTTGTCATGTTACGGAGATCACATCAGAGAAGCTGATAGATTGGGCAACAGGAATACCAGAAAGACCCTTCAACTTTCAGCCACAGAAGGTACACGCCACTTGCGGAGTGGAAGTTTCGCGAGTTCAACGAGGTCCCGCATCTCTTCCAGGAGCGTATCAATATGTCTTATCCGTTTGCGAGTCGATACATTGACCAGTTCCCGAAGAAAATGACGGAACAATTTGCTAGGACGGTGACCTTCGTCGCAGGAGCCATTACTTCAGTCCTTGCCGTCGCCTCATTCCTCGATCCACAGCTCTTCCTTGGGTTCGAGATCACATCGGAGCGATCAGCACTGTTCTATATTGGCGTGTTCGCCGCCATATGGGCGGCTGCCAGAGGCATGATATCTGAAGAGACAACCGTGTTCAATCCAGAGCACGCTCTGCTCTATGTCATTGAGTACACGCGCTACATGCCAGACCACTGGAAGGACCGTCTTCATACAGCCGACGTAAAGCGTGAATTCTCGGAGCTTTACAAGCTCAAGCTGGTGATTCTGATCGAGGAGATCATTGGTATACTTACGGCCTCGCTGGTACTGATCTTCTCGGCACCAAGATGCAGCGATCAGATAATCGACTTCTTCCGGGAATTCACAATCCACGTGGATGGAGTTGGCTACATCTGCTCGTTCGCCGAGTTCGACTTCAAGAAGGGTGTGGGCAAGGCCAAGCAACAGTCTGGCCCTGGCGATGTTCGAGAGGACTATTATTCCACGAAGCATAACAAGATGGCGGCATCTTACTATGGCTTCTTGGATAACTATGTGATCAACCCGAAAACGGGCATCCCGGGCCATTTACCGCCAGGGAGTCGCCATCCTTTCCATCCTCCACCAGCGTTCCCCGGGCTGAACTCGCCAACGTTGGCGGCCGATATGCAAAGCTCTAGACTGGGTCGGCATGACCTATCGCGAAGTCGAGCCCCTCCTGGTGGTGGAGTCGGGCAACAAACTCGAACGCCGAGGTTCGGGCCCTCGATGACGGCTCCGTCGCCGATGGCATCAATGCTCCTCGACCCACATCACCAACCGGCCGCAACAGGGTTCGGCGCTAGAAGTACGCATCGGAGCCGAGCTGGTCGGGGGGGGTACCAAGGTGAGGGTATAATTGAAGAGTCAACCGAAGACGGGCTGTGTACAGACGGCCGACTGCATTCTCAAGGACCATTTGAAGACGAGATCTATGGGGGCTCAGGACCTTTAGGCGAGTCTGTATGGGAGACGTCGCCGCCGAAAGGGTTGAGTCGAGAAAACAGCATGGCTGACGCGGGCGAGCAAGACGCCGGGGTATTGGGGCTGATCTACCAATTCCAGCAGGCCCACCGCAGCAACCCCCAAGGCGGAGGAGGGCTTTAATGCGATTGCACCATAAACAACGTTATAGGTTCGTTAACTAGTAAACGAGAATGAAACATGGGTGGTTCATGGGAGCATGGTTTCTATGGCATTTAACACGTCCAGTCTTCGCCGCAGGTTTGCCACGGCTGGCAAAGGAATGCGATTGAGGATACCCGGCTCAAGAAGCCCAGTCGCATACACACAGGTACTATTATTATAGAAATGAATTAGACGGCAATGACCATTTGAAGAAGAGTTGAACATCTTGGCCACTGGCTTGAGGACTTGAAGCTTCCTTGCTTTCACCGACGGGGCGGACGCCGGACCGGACCGGGAAGGGAGATGTCGTATCTCCGAGCAGCCCGCACACGTGTCCCAGAGCACCGTGTGAGAGCCTCTAGGCGAAGCGCTTTGCAGAGGAGGATAGGGATGCAGAAAAGGCGCACCGCGTAAGCTTGAACTCACGTTGCAAGAGAGTCGAGCCAAGTCAGTGTGAGTAGAATCAAGCACCCGGATGGATGTGGGCGGTAGGTCCTAGGTAGGCTGTGTACATCGTGAGTACTGGCCAAGTAACAGCTCATGGAGCAGTACGGAGCACGGTGGCAGTGGGAAACAGCAAAGAGTTTTCTGTCGGATGCATGGCGAGGTGGATGGGCGTCCTAGGGCTGGAGATTGATAAGATGAGATTAGATGCAAGCAATGGAGGCCCGAGTGCCGTGTCAGTACTCCGTAAAGGGCGAAAGGGCCAAGGGTACTGACAACCGAGATGAGCGAATATGAGAGCCTTGGTCGTATCCCGCATTGTGCGATTGCAGTGAGACAAGACGACTACTTGTTCTCTACGGCACTCTTTTCCGTGTTGTCTCCTTTTCCCTACCAGCCGCAGCTCTGCAAACATCAAACCCGCGAGCCCATCGTGTTGATACCTACCATATGCCATGCTCGGAGAAGAGAGAGAGAGAGAGAGAGAGAGAGAGAGAGAGAGAAGTGTGCCCTTGTTTTCTTTGGCTGCATTCGCATCCGTACCATGTGCGCCCACCATGCAGCAGTATCACCTAATTCATTGACAGGGGTAGATGGCATGACCCGCCAAAGGGGTGCAATAATTCCAGAACCGAGGCCGGAGGTTCCATGACTTTACGAAGAAGTATCGAAGCAAGGCCACAAATGAATGGGCGGGTCACTGCTCCCGGAGCCTGGAGTCAAACCCAGCTTTCCCAAGGGTCAGATGCTTCTTCTGTCCTTCTAGAAAGACGATGAGACTCGAGAGTGAGTGCCGAGCCGGGCGTGCTTGTGAGGCTCTGAGGGCACTACCACTTTGCTGGATTTGACATATTGTTTGCAGTGGAGGTGCTCACTTTCTTCCGAAGCCCAGCTCAGAGACCCATCACCACCTCAGCCATCCACCGGGTCGCTTCGAAGTTACCGTCTTTCTAGCCACTCGCCGGAGGGCGCTTATAGGGAGAGTCGGAACACTGGAGACACCGGCCAGGCGGACCCCATTGAAAGCACGGGCTGGATCCGGGGGGTCGGCCGAACCCTTGACGGACTTAGCTAAGCGAGTGAAGGAAGGATGCGGAGTACGGATAAACCGAAAATTAAAATCAAGAATGAACCCAGTAATCCTCATCTTGGGGGTTTCCAACACCCGTTGATGGTTGAGCACTGACGATTCAAGTCGGAGGTCCAGCAATCCCTTGTTCTCCTCTCGAGCTAAAATATGGCGTCCTGAGATGGGGGGGGGGGGGAGGTTGGATGATACATGGATGCGAAGTCTGAGGTGTCGAGTGCGACTATTGGGGTGGATGTGGTCACATCGGATGTAAAGTCAGCGTCATGAATTATGTTTCTGGCATCTGCACGGTCAGGGCGAGAAACGTAGAAATGACACTGCCAACAACCAAACGATACAAACACTGGCCGCACTGCGGCTTACCGTGACTGCGGCGTTCGATTGCTTTACGAACAGAGTAGTGTGGTTGATCTGACGGATACATGTGGATGGAGAGACGTGGCGAAGGGTCAGCAGACAGAGATGAGATTGATAACAAAAAATCAGGCGCAGAAATCCACACAGATCTTGCTAGGATGGCCCACTCTGCCTGCCAATGACCAGATTTCCAGAATACCAGATGCATTGATAGCCTCGATAGGGAGAGACTGGGACTCGGGAAAGGGTTTGACAAAACAGGATGGAAAAGCTGGGAAAAAGAAGCCAACTGCCTACTGGCTGCTGGCAAACCGGGTCTTTGGGGAAAAGCGGGCTGCTGATCTCCGAGGCCGCAACAGACGAGACCCGAGGTTGGACTCTGGAATCTGGACTGTCCATTTGAATGTTGAGCTGGGACACTTTTGGAGACGGCACTGTCTGGCATCGGGCGGAATGGAACGCGAACAAAAGCTTTTTTCCGGGGGGAGGTTTTTTCTCTGTCGTTCCTTGGTTTTGTGTTTTCTTAACCTACCTATTCCTAGTCTTGCTATTTTGAATTAATTCTACGGAAACATTGGGACAACAATTCATTCCCTTCTCAATTTCCAAGTGAATAAACGTTGGCTCCCTGTGTTTCCGTGCTCTGCCATTTTTCAACATTCAATAAACACTCAGCACTCATTACGAGCAACTTGCAGGGTGATATGCTTGTTTGCATCTTAGCGACGAGAACATGCCAACGCATACTTAGAGACAGATAGATATTCAATGTTCCAAGGGCAAACAAAGGTGGCCAAGATATGGATCAATGCCCGTAGCTCATGGCCAAAAGTCCGTTGGCGTTGGAAGATACCTCAGGTACCTAGGTGGGCCGGGCTGTAGGCTGTAGCTCGCCCGGGAACCCCTGGAAAACCACCTCAGCTGGCCTTAAGCCCGCTGAAAGGAGAGACTTCTATGACTTTTATGACCCAACCAAGTAGGTACCTTCTAAGTGTGACTAAGATACCTTACCCTGCCTTGGTACCTCTACCATTTAACACGATAGGCAAGGTAGTCAAGAAAGGTGAAGACACTGCAAGACAGAGCGTGTCTCATTAATTGAGAAGTAATCGTTGTTTACCTGAAGTTTCGGGCTAGGTAATGTGAGGTAGGTATGTGGTTTCTCCCCATTCTCTACCTTAGGTACGAGGTAACCAGATGCCGCTACCTCAGGTGCTTAGCTCCCTCCCCTCTCTTTCTCGGCCCCGGCGGCCAATCCACAGTAAATGTACCTTCACGTTAGCCCCGGCCTCCACTGCCTGTGCTTTACCTGACTCTGCTAGTTCCAATTGGCCTTTTTTTTATTTTTTATTTTTTTTCCCTCTCCCGCTAGTTACGACGTGGTTTGGCCTTCCTTACCTCCGCCGTTCCTACAACCTCAACTCTCGCAACTGCCACCTGCATATCAACCGTGCATCGCAACTCCCAACGCACGGCGCCGTGAGCTTCAAGGTCGCTTCTCCCAGATAGCTCCCATTGCACTCACACCTGTCATTGCATGCCGCTGCCCGACTCTCGTCGACTTTCCCGGCCGAACCGATTATCGACGGCCCTATCCGATTTTACGCCCAGAGCCATAGGTTTCCCTAGGCCTACGAGAGCAAATCGCGAGTAAAAAGGAAGGAAAAAAAAAAAACCAGGGAAGTCATCGACACAGACGGCCAACGCGATATTTTCCGCCTCTCCCTCAACGAGAGCTCCTCCCGCCACATCCGTGGTCGCCATCGCCGACCCCCTCGATCCCCCTCCAGCTGTCAATCTGGCGGCTCTTCAGCCTAAGCCCTACGGCGAAGCATCTGCTGTGGCCGCAATGGCCCAGCCCAATGCAGAGCCCGCCGAGGAATACGAGTGCGCAATGCCCCCATCTACACATTCATCACGCCCATATTGTCCGCCGCCACCCATCGCCCTCGACCCCTCCTGACGATGACGCACACCATATCAGAAGCCTCCTGCTAACTCTCTGCTCTATTAGCTATGAATCTCTGCCGCCCAACTTTTCCCTCGTGCAGAACATGGCTGCCGGGGCATTTGCGGGCATAGCGGTACGGCACACCTTTCACCTGCGGTCTCGGCCCCGAATGAGCTGGCTCGCCATCAAGTTTGATATTCCACAGGATCCCGGAAGCTGATGATCACATTTGTAGGAGCATACCGTCATGTATCCGATTGACGCTATCAAGGTACGACGCGGCCCCCTTCCATAAAAGGTATCGCAAACCATCATCCGCTAACCCCGAGCTTTGCAGACCCGCATGCAGGTCCTGAACCCCAATCCCTCGGCCGTCTACAATGGTGTGATTCAAGGCACATACCGCATAGCTAGTCGCGAGGGCGTTCTGAGCTTGTGGAGAGGCATGTCCAGTGTTGTGGCCGGTGCCGGTGAGTAATTCCCTACCAGCACGATCGCTGTCATCCTCAATGACTCCCTTTTGCTTACTATCTATCCTAGGTCCCGCTCATGCTGTTTACTTCGCTACATATGAAGCTGTCAAGCATGTTATGGGTGGCAACCAAGCTGGAGTCCACCATCCTTTGGCTGCTGCGACCAGTGGTGCTTGCGCTACGATTGCCAGCGATGCGCTGATGAACCCTTTCGATGGTGCGTGGTCTCAACGTCACGTTATTCCTTCACTCGGTATTTCTAGTAGCTAACATCGAGTTGAATTCAGTCATCAAGCAGCGCATGCAGATTCAGGGGTCGGCCAAGATGTACCGTTCCATGACCGATTGCGCCAAGTACGTCTACAAGACGGAGGGGTTGGCGGCTTTCTACGTCTCTTACCCGACCACGCTGTCCATGACGGTGCCCTTCACTGCCCTCCAATTCTTGGCGTACGAGTCCATATCGACGGCCATGAACCCCAACAAGGGATACGACCCCACAACGCATTGCTTGGCTGGTGGTGTCGCCGGTGGTTTCGCTGCCGCTTTGACTACACCCATGGATGTAATCAAGACGATGCTTCAGACTCGAGGAACTGCTACCGACCCAGCATTGAGAAACGTGAACGGATTCATGGCTGGTTGCCGGTTACTGTACGAGCGTGAGGGTTTCCGCGGTTTTTTCAAGGGTGTGCGCCCCCGCGTGGTGACCACCATGCCTAGCACGGCCATTTGCTGGTCTGCCTACGAGGCTTGCAAGTATGTTGTCCTTGATTCCCCATCAGAAAAGCACTACTCTAACACAACAACCTTGCAGAGCCTACTTCATTTCCAAGAACGACAACCCGACCCCTTGAAGGCGGTACGCCGCTGTGCATATAGAAAAGAATGTCATTGACGATTCGATCACCGATTAGAGCGGTCTTGTAAATTTAGAAAGCAGGGTCGAGGCCCATGAGGAACTCGGACCCCCGAATTGGTCTTTTTATACGTGGGGGCACGATAGGCACGATACCAGCAGTCCTGGCGAGCATTACTCTTCCTCTGCTAGGTAGTGACGCGAGGAACGGCTTTCCCCTTCTTCCGAGCGGGGTCTATTTGGTGCCGAGGAGCTGGTGGTTTGGCAAAATGCAACGTTTGAAAGGATACTCAACATGTTGGCGTCAGAAAATGACGGACTTGCCTGGAGTTGGTATGCTCACGGACGGAATTATAGAAACTAATCTGACATGCCGTCCCTCACTCTCCTCTACATTCGCTATGATTTGTCATTGACATGTTCTGCCTCCACGCGCCCGTGACAGCAACAAGTAGACAGCACTGAACCACCGTTTTGGTATTTGTCAAGCGTCCAGGTGGATTTCGGTGCGTAAGATTCAGGTTGGGCTAGAGGACCGAAAGCCTCTAGGGTGCGAGGTTTGTCCTCTATCGATGACATGTCAGTCACAGCAGGCTCGCAACTGTCTTGATAACGGGGCTTGGATATTTCCACACTTCGAACCGAAAGTAAGTCAAGATGGAAACACGTCTTGGCACATTGTGTATATTTCTGATACCTTGGACGATGGGATCAACCCCAGATATCTGGAGAAGTGTGCGCTTGACTGGCCTCTTGCCTCGTGGCCTCGAGCCGTTTTCCCGTCTCAAACTACGAATGACGATGAAATGTAATGTTGGCCGTTGGATGAGGCCCCGTGAAACTCCAGGCTTTGACCTATAAAACTCCTTTATTCCATGCTACGCTCTCTCCGAGTCTTCCCAATGCGTCACGGCCCCGTCCTCTTTAGAAGGGGAAGCCACCACCACCGCCTCCTCCGCCAAACTTGAAATGGAACTGTTGGCCTCCGCCGCCGCCGCCCTGCTGGAACATGAACGGATGACCGCCGCCAAAAGGGTTACCCTGGAACGGGCTGCCTTGCTGCTCCTGGTTGTTCGGATCGTCGCCGCGGTCGAAACGTTCGCGGAGCTCAGGGTTGCTGAGGACCTCGTACGCCTCATTGATGGATGCCATCTTCTTCTCCGCAGCCTCCTTGGTGAGTCCCTGCTTGGCGGCCTTGTCGGGGTGGTGGATCTTGGAGAGCTTGCGGTACGCCTGCTTGATCTGGCGCTCGTCGGCGTCGTGGGAGACACCGAGCACCTTGTAGTAGTCCTTCGTCTTGCTCCGCTTCAATGCAATCTGGGCCTTTTGCATGAGGGGCTGGACAACGTCGTTCTTGTCTGGGCGAATTTTGCTAGCCTCCTCGAAAGATCTGATGGCCGCCTCGAACTCTTCTCCCTCCATCATGACCTTGGCGCGGTATAGCAAGCCATAGAACGATTGCTCGTTGAGAGCGATGGCCTCTTCGCAGTATTGCTTGGCCTTCTTGCCGTTCATCTGTAGCGGTTGTTGGTCAGTTCAAGGGCGGCTTCTTCCGTCGAGTGTTGTACTTACATCGTAGTAACCTTGGCAGGCCATTTCTGCCACCTGAATGTAAAGCGATGACTGAGCGCTAGAGGGGATCGTGCTGTCAGCGCGCAGTTCCTCGACTTGGGTCTTGATGTCGGTGATCAATCCGGTGTCGTCGGCAGAGTCGATGAGCAGCTTGACACCGGTCATGGGCTGGTTCTTCTCGAAAGCTTTGTTGACCCTGTTCAGGGTCTTTTCAATGGCCTTTTGTTGCTTCAGAAGCTTCCTACAGGGCTTCGAATCGGGGTCGGAGTGCAGGCACTTCCGCGTCTGGGCCATGCCGTTCTGGAGATCACCGAGTCCGTAGAAGGTGATGGCGGCGATCTTGATGTGCGGCGTCGTGTCTCCCGGCCTCATCTGCAATACGTGGTGCAGATCGCTCATGCCCTCCTCGACCTCACCGCGCTGGAAACGGCAGCGCGATCTCATTTCACGCAGGGAAATGGCTCGGTTGGCGGTCATGATGGCCTGGCCGGCATGTCCCACGCAGGCTTCCCAGTCGCCGCTCTTTTCGGCTGCCTCAGCGAGGTGGGCAGCGCCCTGAGCCTCGTCGAGAGCAGCGAGCTCAGCCGAGGCGGGATCCTTCTTGGCCAATTTGTACTGTTCCCTTGCGCCATCCCAGTCTGCAATCTTGGACTTGATCTTGGCCAATTGCACATGGGCACCCTCGAAGCCGGGCTTGAGTGACAGAACCTTGTTGAAGTCTTCGGTCGCCTGGTTCGTACGGCCGAGGGAGAGGTAGGTTGTCGCGCGCTTGAACAGCGTCAAGTAGTTGGAAGGATCGCGAGCGACGGCGGCATCGTAGTACACAAGTGCATCGGACGTCTGGCCCTTTGAAAGGTGAGCTTGGGCGGTGGTCAGGAGGGAAGAAACTGGGGTATCGGAGGGTATCTGGTCGGCGGATATGGCGAGAGTGGGCGTCGAGAGCAAACTGGCTGCGAAAGCCAGGGCGCAAAGGCGGACGTACATGGCTGGCGCCAGATGATTGAGAATAACGAGTGAAGATGAATTCGTTGCTCGGGGCCGGATCTGAGGGTAGGAGTATATGGACAGATTTCGAAGGAGAAAGAAAAAAGGACCCAGGCTCAAGGAGAGAGGGGGGGGGGAAGGATTGGGGGGGTATAAAGAGAGTGAGGAAATTGGAAAAGTTGTCCTCAAAAGAAGCCAAGTAATACGGATAGGATGAAAGCTACATACGACCACATGAAGCTAAGGTTGTGGGGCATGTATTCCTTAACGGGCTGACAGTGACAAGCCTCCTTCGTGTCCTTCTCCCGGAGATGCTCTACATTGTTTAGAAGTACACAAACACCATAAGTATCTTGAACAACTGGCGTACCATGGCAAAGCAATATCAAGTCATAGAAAAATGAACACGAATCTCCTTTCCCTTGAGGTTCTTCCGTAAAAAAATATATAGCAAAACGACAAACCAGACAGCGCTTTATGTTGAAGTTGCCACCCCTGGATGATCGAGTCGCAAACTCAATATTCCGTCAATGAATGCGACGGAGAGACGCGCTGAAGTGTCCAGATTCCAGAAGTAGACACAACGGAGATCGGGGCCCACTTAGTACTTCCTCGCAGGGGTCTCATTTACACTCTGCCTAATTAGGCAGAGCTCTGTGCCTTACAGAGAACTACGTACCTTACCGTACGTACCTTACCCTGCATCTCACTTGCATTGCTTTTTCAGAACCTCCCGCCGCCAATCAGTCGCGAGATAAAGAAGGCAATGCACCTCAAATTCCTCGACAATAATAACAAGCAACAACGACAAAGATAGCTGCGGTCAATACCTAGCCCGGTACATCCACCTCTCATACCAAACAGGGGTGGCTCTACATGAGTTTCTATACAGGAAAGAGACAGCTGACCCTCACCGCATCTCACCATGGCTCATCTTCCACCCTCAACTGCCATCTTCTCACCCTCGATAGCCCGCATCGCCGCCTCCACCGCCAAAGACTGGAGCTATGTTGATAGCTGGCTCGCTTCAAAATACCAGGGCCGGTCCGTCCCGTCTTTCGAGCGCAGTCCTGAGACTCTCAAAGCCCTCCTCGCCCTGGCCAACACCAACGAAGCCGCAGATGAAGAGCGTGAACTAGTCGCTCGAGCCGAGGCCGCCGCCCTCCAGGAGCTCAGCATCGCCCAAGACCGCCCCGAAACCCAATCAGATCTCCCGACTTCGGCCACGGTCCGGGAGAGGATTCTCGGCACCGTACAGGATCACCTCACCCGTGAAGGACGCACCGCGCTGAATTCGCTGGCCACCTTGTCATGCCAACTCTCCGTAGCCCACCCGGATGCTGAGAGTATTGGCCGTTCCATGATTGCTCTGCATGCCGAGGCCTCAGAGCTAGAACAGATGCGCGTTCGGGTGCACATTCTTCAAAGCCACATCGAGCGGGAGGCTGCCATGGCTCGCGAGATGCTGCGCACCTTGAAAAGTGACGACTACAAACCCGTCGCTGACTTGGCCCGGCAGAATTTGGACATGCAGAGGAGGATTAAAGCGATGGCCGCGCGCATCCCCGAACTCAAGGACCGCGTGGCTACCCTCAAACAATCCCCGGCTGTCTCCCATCCTACCATCGAAAAGGTTGCTCAAGACGAGGCCGACTTTCTCAACCTCCTTGCCCAAAAGAAGGGTCTGGATGCCGAAGTCGGCCAGTTCTCGGCTCTCCCCGACGATGTCGCAACAGCCCGGGCTGAGTTAGAACATCTTCGCGCAGAAGTACGGGCCGTTGCGCAGCACCGCGATGCCATATTCGAAGGTCTCGTTGAACGCGAAAGTCCCCGCAAAGGCCGTTGATGATTATTTTACTTCGTCTACAATACAGACACTTGCTAGCTTGCGCTTGCGTGTGGTGGGGGTATTTGAACAATGATTCGCTAAAGGCCACTAGCCGTCTTCACCGGCCGTTAGCCAGGCCGCTTTCCCCTGACTGCGCCTCCCAGGTTCCTAATCTGCCGCATTCCCAAACCTGATCTCTTGGCCGCCGGTGGTGCAGGTGGAGGAGGATCTTTGACTGGAACAGGTGGCCCGCTGGTGTTGCGTGCTTCCTTTGGTCCCTTGGAGTCGAGGCTTTCCCCAAGCCGCAGATCCGCCACACCGAGGCTGCCTCGGCCTTCCTCAACATCGCCAGAGTGTCTCTGGGCTCGGCGAGCCCTTTCCTGGACGGTGCGGAACTTCTCCAGTAACTCATTCCATCGAATGATGCTATCCTCTCGACTCTTGAGCCTATTCGGTCTGTCATAGCTTGAGCTTGTAGTAGACGGGGGGTTCCTACGAAATCAGGGTCAGCAGTTGCCATGAAATTACACGTTGAGGTTGCCTATATTCTCAGGGACAGGTATGGCGCAGTAACACTTACACCTTGGGGGCAATGTGAAGGTAACCGATTGAACTGACGGCGTTCAAGCGATTCTTCAGGGCGGCAAAGGCCGAGGACTGCGGGAGAAGCATCAAAAGGCCGTACAGGCATTTGTACAAGTGAGGAAATTTCTCAGGCTCAAGCAGCTGCAGTCGGAGGTCTTTTGACCGTTAGCTGGAGTGAAAACATAGGCTGTTGACAACTTACAAGTGAATACAGGAGATTCTATCAACTGCACCAACTTGTCAATCTGGATAAGAATGTTCACCGTCATCTCCAGCTCGGCGCTGTGACCACTTTCATTAGCACACAGTGGTCGTAAGAAATCTGCAAGAAACGCGAGACTCACAAAATTTGCAGAAGATTATAAGCCTGCTCGTAAGCCTGCGCCAACAGGCAGAGGGAAAACGTTGCGACGGCGTTGTGGCACCACGAGCGGAACAGCGCGACAAAGAAAGTTTGTCCATCCTGTAAAATGTTCGTTAGCAAAATAGTCGAGATAGAGAAATCGGGAATCTTGCCTTGGACTCTAGATTCCGAAGTCTTTTGCGCAGCTCCGACAGCTCTGGAGCAGTGATGAGGTTGTTGTTCAGATTCTGCACCATTATGCTAGCAAATTCGACATCTTCCTCCTTTTCGATACAGTCTGCGAGTGTGCGGTATATCCTCTCTGCGCTCAAGCTCACGCAAAGCTGACGGATGATCAGGTTCCCTCGTGTCTCAAGCAGTTTTCTGTCAGTAGCAAACAGCTGCAATAAGTTGACCATGAAGTTTGAAAAGTAGTCGTCCTCGCTGTTGCGAGAAATTTGTGACAACAACTGTAGATCTTTTGTGACGACAGTTTCGGCTGGATCCGAGAGCGTCTTGAGCAAGGCAGGGAAGGTCCCGTCATTGAAGGCGAGGACTTTCCGAGGGGCCTTTCTGTGAAGCATTATTAACCACGTCAAGGCCGCAACACGAGTTGCCTCATGGTCATTGAGAAACAAGAGTGTCAAAGCGTTCACGGCTGCCGCGTAGTCCAGGTCTACCTGGGGATGGTTATTTACTAGCGGCGCAACCGGCGTCGACAGAGAACGATTGTGTCCCTGGGCCGGGGTTGGGCTGCGCATTTCGAGGTCCCGTGAACTAGAAAGGGAAGCCCGTGCACTAGATGGCCCTTCTTGTCGTTCACCAGATACTGGAATGCGCGACATGGACTGAGAGTTGCCGCCGATTTCAGGCTCGTCAGAGAGGGAGACAACGTAGTCCATCAGGCCGGCGTTGACGCGTGCGGCAGCTTGGCGTATGGATTCAACACCGCTGGCCATAGCAGGTAGCATGTGAGCCAGGACTTTTGGAGTAAATGGTAGCACCTCTTCAGGGCAAATGTCCAAGAACTCGACTATCCATCGCAATGACTCCAAGAGAGAGTCCTCCTCTATTACACAGACAGTCAGCTGTGATTCGCACTGGGGCTCCGTGGCGGGGTGAAATGCAAGCCTTACCAAGGGGCGAGTCCAGAGTGGCGGTCAGTATCTCGAGAATTTTTCGATAATTGATTTGGACATCTTGTCCTGGTACCCAGTCTTCCTCGCCGCTGCTGTCATCATCGTCGGATTGCGAATCGACTTCATCGCCCTCTTCCGGGCCGATTTGGAGACTCCCCGAATCTACCGACTCCTCACGTTTCCGCTTTCCGCCTTCGCGCGACTTTTTGCTCTCGGCGATGCCCTTCTTGATCCTAGATATCCTCTTAATTTCGCTGAGAAACTTGTCGAGGCAGGCTCTAGTTGCAACGTGAACATCTCTGTTGGGGTCACTCAGAAACCTGAGCAAGCCACCGAGGAAATCGGGGAGAAATGTGACGAGCTCCAAGTCGGGGATAGAGTCGAGCAATGTGATCCAACCAACTAGGAATTGGCGGGTAAATGGGTTGATGACCCAAATGCGCTCCTGGAGGAGTGGGATGAACCGGCGCAAGGAAAAAGCAGTGGGAGGGGCAGCGCGCTCTTCAAGTTCGTCCTTATCGCTAAGCTCCTGCTGGTCCAATTCTCCCTCAAGGACGGACACGTAAGAGGCAGCGGATTCAGAGACAATGTCTTTGATCAGTCGGTCGAGCAGCTCGGCACCGTTTTTAACGGATAACTCAGAGTCAGCTCCCAGCTGTGCGTGGTCAGGTCAGAAATCCGGGCAAATGGAGACACCGAGTGGTGATTATGTTTTGACTTTGACGTCGAGTGTACTAACCTTGCAGAGCGCATCAAAGATGTCGTTAAAGTATATCAAGATCTCCCCCTTGGCGACCTTGGCAATATTGTACATGGCCTCACAGGCATAGTATCTGACTCTCGCATCTTGATCGGTGAAGCAAGCTAGCACTGGCGGAACGATCTTCTCGAGATAGCGGGGTAGTTCCTATGATGTTTGAAATCAGCCACAAAGGTCCCATGCCAATGATAGTGGTCACAGTCAGTCCATGGAAGTGCGCATGTTGGCACATACGTGACCGAGGGCGATGGCAGCTGCGGCCAGGCCTATCAAACCTCCATTGCGAGCATGGGGTTGATGAACGGCGTAGGCGAACTCATTGCAGAGTTGCTCGAGGATTGCTTGGACTCTTGGATAGTCTCTAGTGACGACCAGCTCTCGGATGACTCGTTCGAGCCTAAAGCAAGTCGGAGATGGAAGAGTCAGCCATGAGTGTAGAGCATGAGACGAGCATGAGACGAAGTGAGATGAAGTGAGTGAGATTGGCAGTTTGGGTTGGGAAGGCGTACTCGAGTGCGCCGACCTTGCGCTTGTCATAGAGCTTATCGTTCAAAGCTCTCTGGATGCTGACTTCCATGGTTGATGGCGAGGTCGAGACAGCAACGACGGGATCAAGTCCCGGAACGTTGGCGCAGGACCTTGTGTGAGACGAGTCGGGTACAGTCCAAGTCCAGGTGAGGTAAGGTAGGTACGAATATCGGTAGTCCGCGTTGGGTCGAAATGGTGGAGAAGGATACGGATAAGATGACAGGAGCCAATGGAGAGGCAAGCGGTAGGTATTGAACTGAGCTGAGCTAGGTGAGCTGGGCTGGGTTCACTCCCGGGTCACAGTGGCAGTATCCGTGTGTTTAGTGGGAAGTGTCGGGGACTTGGGGACTTGGAAGCCGTCACTGAAGAACACTAGACAAGTTAGGAGTTGCAGATGGAAGGGATGACGAAATGTCTAAAGGTGCCGCGTTCAAGTGTGATGTCGCGATAGGCGCGCGGAAGTGAGGCTGCAGCCGGGTTAAGAGCAAACAGAAGCAGCCGAGACAAGAAAGAAGCAGGCTTTGGGACCGTGGCAAGCGTGGGACGTCAAAAAAGAGGCGGGTGCAGACGGCAGGCGGAGGTGGTGTGGCGTCACTAGCGAGCACCCTGCCATATGGCATGCCGACCTAAGGTACCTTGCTTATGGGATGTACCTTTTTCCGTTTCCTCCTAAGTACTCACACCTTCAGCAAGGTGCCAAGGTACTTGCGAAAGGCACCTACAGATCTAGATTCTTTCCGTGCCCCAGGGAAGCCATATACTCTCAATAGGCATCGGGCACCTCGCTCTCGAGCTCTACACCTCAAGATAAGTTACCTAGGTACGGACTCAGGAGTTACAGGAAGCCCCAGAGAACCTTGGCACCTGACCACTGGCTCACCCTACCTTGAGGAAGCTGCAATCACCAGTGACTGAGCACCAATGTACCTTATCTTGGCATGGCTCAATATAGTGGGGACAGCCAAGGTAACAGAAGGTCCTAAGTACGGAAGACGTCCCTATCCTGCTGCCCCAGGTATTGGGTAGAGTAAGGTATGGTTGCTATTTCTGGGACTCTGCAGCGGTGCGAACCTCCTGTCACTCTGATAGCGTTGGGTAGGTGGTTGACGTGAGACAAAAACTTACCTTTGGTAGCGGGGTAATGACTGGGAGTGAACACCACACTCAAGTGGCTTAAAAAAGGCAAACACCGCTCATCGTGTTGGGTTGGAAATATCGCAGCCACGGCTTTGATCATTGAGTTAAACTGGAATCAAAGCGCCCCATGCAACTCCTTTATCTTTGGACAGGATTCTCTGCAAACTTCAAGACAGCATTGTTCCAGCCCCGCAATGTTCAACAGAGAATGAATCCTCGGCCATGGCCAAGTACCAGTAATGGTGTCACCTGGTAAACCCCCAAAAGACAAACATCTACCCAGTAGACTCTTTTCTTTTTCAACCCTTCCTCGCCTCTCGCCTCTGGTCCTTTGCTGCTTGCTTCTGAAGTCCTAGCATCTTCGACATATGCTAGCGAGCGGCTTTCGTCGCTGATTCGTGGGTATCAAGCCTTAGCGGTGACACGTCGCGACAAAGGCAGCTAATCAACATGCTTTTCACATCCCACTGTCTTACGAGAAGAGGAAACTCCGAGAGAGGCACGAGAGAACCCGTGAACCAATAAC